TCAAACATGTTCGCATAGAACAGTTTGACGCTCAAACATGTTCGCATAGAACAGTTTGACGCTCAAACATGTTCGCATAGAACAGTTTGACGCTCAAACATGTTCGCATAGAACAGTTTGACGCTCAAACATTTTCGCATAGAACAGTTTGACGCTCAAACATGTTCGCATAGAACAGTTTGACGCTCAAACATGTTCACATATAACAGTTTGAGGCTCAAACACGTTCGCATAGAACAGTTTTAGGCTCAAACACGTTCGCATAGAACAGTTTGAGGCTCAAACATGTTCGCATAGAACAGTTTGAGGCTCAAACATGTTCGCATAGAACAGTTTGAGGCTCAAACATGTTCGCATAGAACAGTTTGAGGCTCAAACATTTTCGCATAGAACCGTTTGAGGCTCAAACATGTTCGCATTTAACCATTTGAGGCTCAAACATGTTCGCATAGAACCGTTTGAGGCTGAAACATGTTCGCATAGAACCGTTTGAGGCTCAAACATGTTCGCATAGGACAGTTTGAGGCTCAAACATGTTCGTGTAGAACAGTTTGAGGCTCAAACATGTTCGTGTAGATCATTTTGAGGCTCAAACATGTTCGTGTAGAACAGTTTGAGGCTCAAACATGTTCGTGTAGAACAGTTTGAGGCTCAAACATGTTCGTGTAGAACTGTTGTAGGCTCAAACATGTTCGTGTAGAACAGTTGTAGGCTCAAACATGTTCGTGTAGAACAGTTAGGGGCCCAAGCATGTTCGCATAGAACAGTTTGGGGCTCAAGCATGTTCTTGTAGAACTGTTTCAGGCTCAAACATGTTCGTGTAGAACTGTTGTAGGCTCAAACATGTTCGTGTAGAACAGTTTGAGGCTCAAACATGTTTGTGTAGAACAGTTTGTGGCTCAAGCATGTTCGTGTAGAACAGTTTGGGGCTCAAGCATGTTCGTGTAGAACAGTTTGGGGCTCAAGCATGTTCGCATAGAACAAAATCTGATGTGTGCAAAATTAAAGCTTCCAATTTTAATTCGTTTCGTTTTGACTCTAGCGGATGGACGGACTGGCCTATATCGTCTTAGAATTTTACGCGAATCAAGAATATATATACTTTGTTAGGCCTAAAATTATTATTTCAATAAGTTACAAACGGGATGGCGAAGTGGAGGGAATAATAAGACTATGTTATAAAAAATAATAAATCGGGATTTACCCTTATACCAAATAATGGACCAGCAGGACTCATTTTTGAAACCAATGATTACCAAACAACGAATATTATCAAATCCACCTAGAGTTGTCCACAACCCATACTGACTATTTTTCGGTAAATAAAAACTACACCAGATTCGGAAAAAGGTAAGTTCATTGAAAATTAAACGGGTTTTTTAAAACCAAAACTGGAGATATTTTTCATGATGAATATGAAGTATATATCAATTCGTTGGCATATATACATGGTGAGATAAAAAAAAAACTGCAACAAAGTCAAACGACACAATTTTTGCATTTTTTTTTTTAATATTTTTAGTGAAAACAAAAAAGTAGAAAATAGCATCAAATTTTAGAATAAGTTTAGATTTGTTCGAATTGGTCACCTTTGGCACGAATTGTGGCCTTCAAACGGCCAATGAAACCGTCACACGCTGCCCGAATGTTGCTTTGCGGCATTTTGGCCCATTCCGGCGAAGCGCTTGCCTGAGGTAATCAACACTTTGTTATTTTTTAGTGCCAACCTTGCTTTCCAAAATACTCTAGACACAATAGTCCAACGGATTGGTATCCGGAGATTTTGGTGGACATTGTTCACTGCAAATAAAGCGAGGAACCTCATTTTGTAACCATTCTTGGGTAGCGCGTGCTAAGTGCTAAGTGCGATGGTGCTGAGTCCTGTTGGAATGTCCAAAGTCTGCGGCCAAAATGCCAAAAATTCGGCAGTTCACCACTTTCGGCCAAGCGAAGCAACTCTTTAGCTCTATTAAGTCGATTTTCTTTTTTTGCGGTGTAAGTTCTTGCACTTTTTATAATTTCAATGGTTTTACCCCAAGCCCATTTTTCAATATTTGCCGAATGGAATATTGCGATACGTTCCGCTCACGAGCCATATTTTTGACTTGTTACGATTCCTTTTAAAGATATTTGTTAGATATATTAAGAAAAAACGACTAAAAGGACCCCCTTGATGACTTCTTAGAGGGTTTCTTTTTTTTACCAAGATATTCATCGTATTGTTAAAGACACAATATCTTAATCCGAAAATTTCTCCCATCTTCCACACTTTTGGCCATTAATTACATGTTTGTTTTATGAAATTTGTTTCCCAAAGAATTGCAAAGAAAAGCAAATGGTTGACAAAAAACTTTCTGAATTAAGAGCAAATTTAATCAACAAAATAACTATCTTAATAGAAAAACTCTCCTGAAAAGGTAGGCGAATGCATGCCACCGCACAAAGACAAATTGAAATTATGACTATAAGAAAACCAATAAAGAAAAAATTCCTATCCAACCAACCAGCCAAAGTTAGTGAGGCCGAGCGAATAGTTAACATGGAAACCTGGCAAACATTGACAATAACAGAACAAATAATTTATATATTTATGTATGTGTGTGTGGTGTCCTATATTAAATGTCATCTACTTGAGAAAAATTTTTATTGAAAAAGTTCCTAGTCCAACAACAATGTTTTCTCATCCTACCACTGCACCCACATTGTAAGCAGTTGGTGTTCATTGGTGGGTTAAATTTTTGCAATGAGATAAATTGGGGAAAGATACCTACCCCGGATATTGTCTGTGTGGAAGGTGCTCTGTTTTAAATAAATAAATTAAATTAAGAATAAGGTGGAATTAAGAAGGTAGCCTCATTTCGCATTTCTATTATTAACATCGTCAAATTTGACTCCAACTCAGTTCCCATATCTAAAGACCGGGGTCAAATTCTCTTATTCGATATCGAAAATTAATTTTAATATGTTTGTTTTGTGCAGAAACGCGGAAACCATGGTAGAATTAAGAAGGTAAAGTCTTATGTTTAAAATTTTTTAATATCCTACACCACATAGGAATCCTATTGAAATTGGTCAGAATCGTTTCAAATTTAGATATAGTTACCACATATATCTTCAACAGTTTTCGAGTTAATTGTGCACAACTGGCCAATATCAGTTCAAATTACCTGGATTTTTGGGAAATCCGACCGATTTCAGTCTAGAAGCAAGTACAACAAATTTTTGTAAAAATCGGTTCATGTATTGCTATAGCTCCAATATATATGTTTCATCAAATTTCACAGCAAATACCAGTCCAAATAGACTGAATTTTGGTATTTACAACTGAATTTATCCTAGAAACAAGTACTTCAAATTTAGTGAAAATCGGTTCAGATATAGCTGAAGCTCCCCTATATGCGTTCAATTCGAAAATCTGTTCAGATATATCTATAGCTCCCATATATGCGTTTCATCCGATTTGCGGTTTTAAGTCCCTCACATACATAATATGCACTCCACAAAGATCGGTTCAGATTTCGATATAGCTCCCACACATATCATTATCCGATTTCAGGTTTATTGTGCACCAAATGGCTAATATCAGCCCAAATTGTCTGAATTTTGGCACTTCCGACGGAATTCAGCCCAGAAGCAAGTCTTTGAAATTTTGGTAAAAATCGGTTCAGATATACCAATAGCCGTCATATAAATGTTTTATCCGATTTGGTTTTAAAGTCTCTCACGTATATGCACTCCACAACAATAATATTTGATACCAGACATCAGATACAGCTCAAAAATACCTCTGCCAAATTTTATCGAGATTGTTTCATACTTTTATATACATTCGACATACATCTTCATAGATTATACGGTATTGTCCACCATAAATGAATATTAACCAAAATTGGATCGATTTTTGTATTTTCTACCGAACTTTTCCTTTTAGTTAAACTGGGTCCGGTATATCTATTGCTCCAATAAATATTATTTAATATAAATCTTATCGAAGTCATATCATGCACTGTACTTTGGTATTAGAGGTATAAAGCCTCCGTCAAATTTGTTGAAAATCGATTTAGAATTAGATATAGTTCCCTAGTTGTGATTACCCTAAAGCCATACCTCACATAAATTTCCCATATATATATATATATATATTTTTTTTTTTTTTTTTTGTTATTGGAGCTCTACTCAATACGCGTAATTGTCGGCCTCGCCCGACTTGAGACCTTCCCTTACTGGTTAGATCTAATTTCATTATTAGCTGGGTTTTTCCTGTAATTTTTGGAAAAAAAAAAATAATTTTGTAGCATAGTGTAAAATTTCCAGTAAAAATTACTCACTAACTTGTATTGAGATTCAATTTTCTCTAAATACATCGAAGCAAAACTACGTCCTGATATTCGGTATTTTGATGATTTTAGCCACATTATTTTTTTTTTTTTCAAGTTTCGCATTTGAATATTGTAATGGCTTATGACAAAAGTTTCCTATGCAGGTCCATGCCGTTGTATAGACCCTAATATAACGGCTACATTTGGTATTTTTAAGATTGCAACAGAATTTTCAAGAGATTTTATTTTTTTGAAAGTTCCCAATTCGTTCGAAACGGTGGAGGGTATTCAAAGTTCTTCTCTGATTTTTTACTTGTTTTTATTGGATTATTGTTGTTGCATTGCTTTTTAAACAAATGAACTCAAAACTTATAACATTTATTTCTACTAACCAGTCCACTAGAAGATCTTCAGAAAAATCCTAGTTATCAAAACAAAACCTGACCTATAATCCCCATCTATATTATTTGGCTTACTATCCCCTATTAAAGGATTATCCTTCTTAAAAAAAAAAAAATATTGCAATATTTTACCTCCACCTCCAAACATCAGCAAAACACACGGCCATTGCAGTTAGCAGCAGCAGCAACAGCTAAGGAAAAGTGAAATGAAAAGTTCAAGAATGGCACAAAAATAATAAAGAAAAACAACAACAGCAAAATTAAAGAAATTTCCCAGCACTTGTGGTTCGACTATAATACGTTTATTGCCACTCTAGTTAAGATGTCTTTTCATTTTGTTAAGTCCTTTTTGTGTGCAAACTTTTTCCTACCTTTTTAACCTCAAGTTTCATTGGGTTTTTGTTGCTTCTTGATATTGTGCAGCGGTAGCAGTAGTATTATTGCGGTTGTTGGGCTTGCTGGTTGATATTGCTTTTATGTTATTATTGTTGTTGTTGCTAACTCTGGTATTTGTCTCCTTTGGGATCTGGGCCGGCACGACGCGCAGTTAGCATCAGGTGTATAAAATTGTTATCTTAATAAATTGTCTTTAAAAGTGTTATACAGGTTTTAAAACGCTTAAAAAGTGTGGTGTTTTTTGTTTTATATAAAGACATCAAGATGATTACAGGCATTGGTGTCAACAAACATTGTGGAATGGTGTGCAATTCGGCTAAAATACTTAGACTTACATACATTTATTTATTTATAATCTTAAATTATTTTAATACTGCCCTTGCAAACAAACCCCATATTTCTAATTCTTCAAATACGTTATCAACGAACTCATCGATGGACATTTAGTATCGTCGGGTAATTGTATTTCATAGAAATATCGCTGGATAAATGTCCAAACATAATCATTTGAGGCTGGGAATGGTAAGTTCAATACCCGATAGATTTTCATGCAGCAATCGAGGGCGGTTAGGAAATCGGGCATTTCATATAGGGCAACGTGAAAGTGCACATAAATTTCATGTATATTTATATTATTATCGCCCACAACAACAATGAGCGGTGTAAACTCGGTGTGAATTTCACCAAACTTGATGCAAAATTCTTCACGTTTTTGATCCAATTCCTCCAAATGATTGACACGCACCGCAAATAGATCAACGGCCTCAACAATGGATACCTTACGACGATTACCGGCAGCATCTCGATAGCGTGCCATTGGTATGATAATGGAATTGAGTAGAACAATGAGTATGTAATCTTCGGTGTCTGTAACAGAGAAACGAGAATTGTTATTGTAATGATTTTTGAATTGTTTTCATGATATACCTTTTCCTGGTTTGGTTTTCCACAGAGCAAACAATCCCTTGCACATTTCATCCTTAATGTTGCTCTGATAGTAATAGCAGATTTTCTGTACAAACCGCGACCACTTGCGTTGCAATAAGTTCTCCTTGTTCCGTGAGAATTTCAGGCGAAAATCAATGTCGAACTGAAAAAAGGGAAGTACAAAATGTCTATTATTTGAAAAAAAAAAAAACTTTATTCTAAAGTCATAAGGAATGTAATTCACATCCACCGCAACCAATAGAAATTAAAATATGATACCCTTCACCACTACAGGTATTTAGTAGAGCTCCCGTAAAAAAATGCTAATATTGGGAATTTATGTGAAGTAGATCATACCAACCATGAACCTTATTTGAATGCGTATTATAACTTCAGAGTAGTCACAAGTTGGGTACTAATTCCAACTCTGAATCGATTTTCAACAATTTTGAGAAAGGCTTTTGTTCCAGTAGTACCAAATAACATTGCTGTATAGTGCATGATATGACATCGAGTTTTATATTTAAAAATTTCCATTGCTCGATATTTAGGTTGAATATGAACAAAACGGTATATATGGGAGCTATATCCAAATCTGATCAGATCTCGATAAAATTGACATAAGTATTTGTGGGCTGTATCTGATATCTGGTTATCTTATTTTATTATTTTTGTCCAAACCGGATGAAACACATATATGGGAGCTATAGCTATATCTGAATTTTCAAATTTGATGTACTTGCTTCTAGACTTAGTTAATTCATCAGGTCATTTGGACTGATCATTTGGTGCACAATTAAGCCGAAATCGGATGAAGATATGTATGGGAGCTATATCTGAATTTGAGCCGATTCTCACCAATTTTAATAGGGTTCGTCCTTGAGCCAAACAAATATTGTTTGGAAAATTTTATCTCAATCGGATAATAAATGCGATCTGCATTTTGTTCACAAAAATACATGGACAGACGGACTGACATGCATAAATCGACTCTGATTCTATGAATATCCTAAAAGAAACTAAAGGTCTCCCTTCCTTCTGCATGTTACACACACAAATGCAAAAAGACATAATACCCTTACCACTATGTGGTGTAGGGTGTAAAAAAGCAGTTAAGTTTGGCCAGGCCGAACTTTTAACACTTTCTACTATTTGGAAGGAGCTTGAAAATTTTCCAAAAAAAAAATCGACTAATACCACTTAAACGAAACTCGTTATATGGGTGCTATACCAAGACGTGGACTTGCATAAGTAATTTTAGTTATAAGCTGAGTTACCGATTCCAGACTTCAAATACGAAATTTGAAAGAATTCCGGTGAATAATGTCGCTAAAATTATCAAAATACCGAATATCGGAAGGTATCGTTACATGGGAGATGTGGACCTGCATAAGTAATTTTTATTTAATAGCCTGTAGTACCCATTACGAACTTTAAATACGGAATATGTTATAATTCCGGTCTATAATGCTCAAAATCATAAAAATACCGAATATTGGGAGGTTCCGTTAAATGGGGCTATACGAAGGCCTGGACCTGAATATGTAATTTTTTGTCATAGCCTGTAGTACGAATTCTAAATATGAAATTTTTTAAGAAACCCCTTAACAGATCATTTATTTATAGAAAACCTTGTGATGGCCCTCAACCCCTAAAGGAGTTTAACAAGGTCTCCCACATGTTGAAGATCTTCCGAAGACAGACTTCTTATGTTGATGACCTTGAGAAATTGTTGCTTTTATAGAAGGTTTTATTTATAAGGAATCTTCAGATGATTTTATATTAAAGAATACCTTTGAAAAGTCTTTCATCTAAAGGAAGCCATTAAAGGGGGCTATACGAAGGCATGGACCTGAATATGTATTTTTTTTGTCATAGACTGTAATACGAATTCTAAATAAGAAATTTGAATTTTTTTAAGAAACCCCTTAACAGATCACTTATTTATAGAAAACCTTGTGATGTTACTTTCAATCCCTAAAGAATACCTTTAAAAAGTCTTTCATCTAAAGGAAGCCTTTAAAGGGTATCCAATATGCATAGAAAATCTAAGAAGACGTTCTACCAATAGATTACAAATAAAAAGATCTTGAGCACCTATCTTAGATCATTTTGGAAGCACTATCTTTTTCGTGGACTTAGATTAACTGAAGATTTCAACTACATTGAGAAAATGCCTTTACACCCATACAAACATACCAATTCCATTCCTCTGGCATTTAAATACTTTGGCCATTGCTGGATGACATCTTTGACTGTTGAATGCTCAATGTCCTCTTGGCGTATCAGATGAGTTTGCGACCATAATGTCTTAACATTATCCCAATTTAATCCTTGACAACGAAGTACATCCTTTGCAGTACTTGATGAAGTATCATTCGATTCGAGGAGTTCTTCAAAATCATCTGCAATAAATTCTATTTGTGTGTTGGAGTTGTTGTTTGAGTTTTTGTTGTCATCCGTAGTATTAATGCTGTTTGTTTGATTAGCACTTGCAGATGTTGTTGCTTCGTTGGTCAAAACTGCTGTCGATGCTTTCTTCGTCTTGCTTGTGTCGTCCTTCAATGATCCAGTTTGCAAAAATGAACACATAGATTCATTTGTAAACTCTTGATGTATGTCACGAACTCGTATTCGTTTCAAAGTATTGTAATATTTTGTATATAGACGCCCCATGGGATTACGTTTGCCTTTGCGATTAATAAAATAATAGTCCCTGGCCTCTTCCTCAGCGGGAAATAAGTTGACAATCATATCGACAATTTTACCAAAATCCGATGAGTGTAGCTTGATTTCCTTCGTGACCACATAATCGACAATAGTGTTGATTATCTCGTCACGATGTTTTCTCTCCAGATAGCCGTGTCGGTTATAGAATACTTTGATAATGGTACCAAAAACAGATTCTTCGATAAGTTCTTCAAGATTCTAGAATTTTGAAACCAGTTTAATTTAATAATATACTCAGGTATGTAATTTGATCCGACCCTTACCAACAATGCACCCAATCTGGTCTCTCGTAGATTAACAATTGTTTCCGTTCTGGGTCTTTTGGATGCTGGTGCACCTCCGCCTGCTTCCACTTCCATTTCCAGTGGTAATTCATTCATCATTTCTTGCAGAGATGATGTATCATTGGCGCCATCAACTATTTCCTCATTTGTTTCCATAATCATTATTGGATTGGATTTATTTGATTTATTGCTTTTATTATCTGCCGATTGACTGGATCTTGGTATTTCTTCTGAGGTGACGGTTTGATAAGATTTCTCGAATTCAATTATTTGGGTATTGTTGGTGCGGTACTAAAGATAATGAAACAAAATATCAATTATTGCCTTCTAGGTTCCCTTTCGTAAACTTAAGATTACTTAGAGGACTCTTGCCATGTTAAGCTTAGCTTAGCGTGAAAAACTTACCCTTTTTCTACGCCATGCAAAGAGTTTTTCGCGGAATTCAGCCCGATGACCCACACTACGTATAACTGTGTTAATATCATCCACGGAGAGGTAGCGTAAACTACGATATGTAATGTCATAAGCTGAAAAGGTTTTAAAAAGATAACAGTTAATAAACTATACCATTTTCGTATGGCAATATCCTGCTATCGAATACAAACACTACTAATATAACGTCGATATGTATATTTTATTTGCAAAAACAAACTACTGGAGGCGCCATCTATATGTCACACGTACTCATAGTGGAGGTGAAATGGAAATTGTATTGGACTGTGTTCAAAAACAGATGGCGCTCTTTGCCATGACTTAGTACTCATACAACTTGTCATCAACCATCAGTGAGTGCCGCCTGATTCATCTCCATTTTTCCAAACAAAACCAAAACAAACATTTCCACTCACCTTTAAAAAATGGGTACAAAAAAATCATTTGGAACTTTTTCAACAACTTCCGCAACATTGCATCATCGGAGTGACAATCAAAATCGATGGGATGCAGCGGAGGAAAGTATTCCTCAAATGTAAGTTTCTCATCGGCCGTGGTGCTTGTCTCCTCCTGCTTGACCGCTTCATCCGCTTGTGTCACCAGGTTTTGATAATTTTCATATTCTTCAGTTTCCAAATATTCTTCTCTCATGTTTTGTTCTTTCTTTTCAGCAACCGGTGTTGTATTTGCTTTGAAAATATTTTTAAAAAATATTTGCAATTCGCAAGGTAAATTTACCACTTTACTTGGCTACCACGAAATTTACTTCGGAACCTATTTTCGGGTGAATAACATAATGGACTTCGTCGAATAAGGTGAACGGGGGATGATGAAAATTTGTTGTTGGTTTTGTTATTTTGCAAAACAGAGAATACGTAGAATGGAAATTTATGCGAATGAGGAAATGGAGGATTGTGAGAATTAAAAGAGGGTGATTCATTTTAAAACACAGGGTGTACCACAGCTTATATTAAAATTTGGAATACGGCTGGTAATTTTTGAAAATTTTTACAGTTACAAAGAAAAATATTTAAATATGCCTAATTGAGGATTTTTAGAAAACGAAGTACCTTTCCGTTATAAGGAACACCTGATTTTAATTGTAAGTCACACGATAACACCCAGTTTTTTTCCGAACTTCTTAACCTATTTCATTTCGGTGTTTATAGGTGCGTCGAACAATTGCATATAGACGAGGAAGGAATCTACATTATAGCCTGCTGAAGGAGAAACTTTAGCTCTGTTCCAGAACCCACAAGAATGTGAAATTATGCTAACTAAATAACCTACTTTCCTTGCAGAAAACGACTTCGAGGCTAGATTTTATATAGAGAGGAAAGATATTGTACATGGTCAGATTGTTATAGTAAGTCACACTACGATTGTATCATGAGCCACGAGCTAACACACATTTTTTCTAACTTTTTGACCTATATCATTTCTATGTTTACAAATCCATAGATGAGTGAAACATATACATATAGACGAGATAAAGGATTGAATCTATACTTTATCCTGTTGAAGAATACAATCTATTTATGGACGAGATTTGTTGAAATTTGCACAAGACCATTTTAATTTCGGGCCCTGGCCACGAAGTTTCATACATTGCCCTTATTGCCTTCCATTTTATAATACACTTTAAAAAGTTTAAATGTAGAAGCCAAAGAGACAGACTTTAAAGACTATAATGGGCTGAAAAAACCTCGACTTTATTTAAACCAACTGAAACATGGAAACCTTTTAGGCGAGCTAATGCACAGAGATTTTGTATAGATAAGCTGAAACTGGAAGTATGCAGATAAATAGATCCTTTGGGTTTAATTCAAAGGAGGAGATGATGAAAAAGTTACTTTTAGTGTAATGATATACAGACAAACGATGATTGCCTTTAGAATGGTTTTACTAGGTCTACCATGTATAGAAGGCTTTTAATTGGCATTCGACAATTTATACCTTTTTATATCTCCTAGATTTACTTTAGAAAATCTCACATACATAGAACAACTTTATTTTTAATTTTATTAGAATATCTCACATAAAAGAGCAACAAGGGATACAGGAACACCTATTAAAAATACCATCAAAGGGCCTTTTGCCTATAAAAGAAATTTAGAATGTAATCTGAGGAATTTTAAAGGTCTTGTGTTTTCTTCCTTTTTGATGGTCTTGATTCCGTTTTTTCGTCGAAGAAACTGAAAAAGCTCGGCTTTACTTAAACCACCTGAAACATGGAAACCTTTTAGACGAGCTAATGCATAGAGATTTTGTATAGATAAGCTGAAACTGGAAGTATGCAGATAAACAGATCCTTTGTGTTTAATTCAAAGGAGGAGCTGATGAAAAAGCTCCTTTTAGTGTAATGATATATAGACAAACGATGGTACAGAAAATTCTCTACGAGCGGATAAATATATTTCATATGGGGATTTCCTATCATTAAACATTATGAAATTTGTTAAAACTTTAAATTTAAGTAAAGAGATATATTAATTCATAAGTATTTTAAAATTGGTCGATTCTTCATGACTATAGTCTAAGCAGCTATCTTGCCCTGAAACATATCTGATTTAGAAATGTGTTTTTTTTATGGGGGACTATCTGATTTAGACGTGTGGATATTTTCTGATGGATTATCTGATGAGTTTTTTAAGATATTTTTGAAGACTATCTGATTAATAAAGGTGGATTTTTTAAGATATATTCTGAGGGGCTATCTGTATCAGAAAAGAGAATTTTCAAAGATATTTCTGAGAGACTATCTGATTCAGAGACGTGGATTTTTAAGAATATTTTTGAGGACTATCTGATTAATAAACGTGGATTTTTTAAGATATATTCTGAGGAAGATAGTCCCTCAGAAAAGAGGATTCTTTTAAGAAATTTCTGAGGGACTATATGATTTAGAAACGTGGATTTTTAAGAATATTTTCGGCTAGACTATCTGATTCAGAAACTTGGACTTTCAAGAATTTTTTCGGGGAGACTACCTGATTCAGAAACGTGGATTCTTAAGAATACTTTCTGAGGGACTATCTGATTCAGAGACGTGGATTTTTAAGATCTGTTAAGGCTCCTTTTTTACAGTGACCCATAAAGATATCTACTATAAGTTTTAGATCAAAATTCATTAGGGAACGTTTTTGAATTGTTGGTCTTTTGGAAGAGGTTGGTCATACTGAGATCTTGTATATAATGAAATGACCCGGAGATGCTTCGACTAAGCGTACAAATTCCATTTCATTAATATTTTATTTGTATTGCGGCAGTTCATCAGTCGCTTGGTTTCCGTTGACATGGCATCCAGTCAATTAAAAAAAAAAAATCCTGCACATTTTTCATCTGTCTGTAGGGATGGAAAATCATAAACCAATTTCATAAAACCAATAAGTTTCGGAGGTTTCTCAAATGGAAGTTCACTAAATGTTTGTGTTAAAATATTTTTATTAATTTTAATTAACTTAAAACTTTTTCTTAATATTATCTATAAATAATGATGATTAACGATCCAAAGTTTGTTTTTCTTTCATTAGTTTTTTGAAAATGTCTCTCGCTTCGCGTTTCAGAATTTTACCATTATTATTGTGAGGCAATGAATCAACAAAATACACACCATTGTGCAATTGCTTCTGTTGTTCCGGCAAACGTGTCTTCACATGGTTAACAATATGCTCTGCCGTAACATTACCGCCCTTCTTCTTGACCACCAAAGCGCCAGGGACTTCTCCAAATCGCTCATCATAGATACCCACAACGCAACAATCCAATACCTCGGTTAATTCTCGTACAACATTTTCAATTTCTCCCGGCCAAAAATGCAGTCCTTGATATTTTAAAATATCCTTTTTACGATCTTTGACATAAAGGAAACCATCTTCATCCATGTAACCCAAATCACCGGTATGGAACCAACCCAAGGAATCGTAAATTCGTTGTGTTTCAATGGGATTGCCATAATAGCCAGCCCAGTGATAAGGATAATTTACCCAAATCTCTCCCGATTCATTGGGTCCCAGATTTCTACCGCTATCATCGACAATACGTAAACGTATGTTGGGTACAAGTTTACCCACTGAATTGCCACGTTCCAAACCAAAATACCCCGAAACGCCACCAGCTTCAGTGAGACCATAACCGAAACATATCATTGATCGCGGTAGGGTATTTTGAATTTGAGCCAGTGTTTGTTTGGAAATATAACCACCACCGCAATTTAAAAGTTTTATTGTCGAGACATTCTCGGTTGTGAATAGGGGACATTCGCGTAGGGCTACAGCTTGCACTGGCGAAATGGTGACATTTGTTATCTTATATTTCTTCACCAATTCAATGAAATGTTCCGGTGTAAAGGGCTGGCGTGTTATAACGCGGGTGCAACACATGTAGATGTTGAACAGTGTGATCATCAGACCGCTCATCCAATCCAGGGCGGTGGAGGTGTAAATAATGTCTTCACTGGTCAGGACGCTACAAATAGAAGAGAGAAAAAAACATGTGTTTTTAAGAAGAATATTTTCTGGAGTGATTTTGGAAACGTGATTTTTTAAGAAAAATTATTGAGGGACTATCCGAGCTATAAAAGAATATCTTTAAGAGACTATCTGACCTTTAAAAGTCAATTTTTCGAAACTATTTTCTGATGGAAATTTTGCCATAGAAACGTTGATTTTTAACAAATATCTTTTGGGGGACTTTTTGGGGGATTTTTAAAGAATATTTTCTAAGGTTCTACATATTTTAGAATTTGTGGATTTTCAAAGAATATTTTCTGAGGGATTAACCAAACTATAACTGTGGATTTTTAAGTAATACTTTTTAATGCAATATCTGATCTCCTAACGTGGATTTTTAAATGATATTTTCTCAGAAACTATCCGAGACGGCAAAATGGCTTTTTAAAGAATATTTTCTGATGTAAAATCCCAGCGGGAACCGTTGCTTTTTAACGAATACTTTTTGAGCCGAGCTGAAAATTTCCCAGCTAGAAACGTGGCCTTCAAAAATATATTTTTTGAGGGACTATACAAAATGTGACGGTGGATTTTTAGAGACTATTTTGAAACATAGATTTTTAAATGAGAGAGTATCTGAGTTGGAAATACAACTTTTTGCAGAATACTTTCTGAGGGAATTTTAGAAACGTGATTTTTTAAGAATATTTTCTGAAGTATTATCGGAGATAAAGACGTGGATTTTTAAAGGATATTTTCGAGCGAATTTTCTTTGAGAATTTTTTCTGATAGGCTTTTTGCCATAGAAACGTCGATTTTTAAAGAATGTCTTTTAGGGACTTTTTAACGTGGATTTGAGAGAATATTTTCCAAGGGTCTATCCGACCTAGAAACGTGGATTTTAAAAATTTTTTCCAAGGGCTTACGTACCTAGAAACGTGGAGTTTAAAAGAATTTCTTTTGAGGGGCTTTTTGACGTGGATTTTAAAGAATATTCTATAAGAAGGTTCTATCTGACCTAGAAACGTGAATTTTAAAAAAATATTTTCTGATGGAATATCTGGGTTTTTAAGCGAATTTTTAAGTGATATTCTCAGAGGAACTATCCATGCTTAAAATATGGCAGTTTCAAAAATATTTTTGATGGACGGTCTGACCTTAAAAATTGAATTTTTCGTGAGAGTATTTTCTTTGGGACTTTTTAAGCTAGAATTTTGGGGGACTTATTGACATAGACACTTGGATTTTTTAAGGATTCCTTGGAGATACCTTAAGAATATCCAAGTTATGAACGTAGATTCTATAAAAATATTTCGAGCTTTAAACGTGGAATTAAAAAGGGATCATTTAACCTCCATGCGTGGAATTAAAATATGGATCATCTGGTCTCTAAACGTGTTTTTTAAGAATATTTTCTAAGAGAATATCCATACTTTAAATGTGCAATTTAAGTAGGGATCACCTGACCTTTTTTCGGGAAATTAAAATAGGGATCATTTGACCTCTTAAGGTGGATTTTTTAAGAATATTTCATAAGGGTCCATAAGAGCTTTAAACGTGGATTTAAAAGAGGAATCATTTGACCTCCATACGCGGAAATAACAAAGGGATCATCTGGCCTCTTAGCGTGGATTATTAAAAATATTTTCTCAGAGTCGATAAGTGTTTTTAAAGTATAATTAAAAGAGGGATCATCTGACCTCTGAACGTGGATGTTTTAAAAATATTTTCTACGGACCCAAAAGAGCTTTAAATGTGTAATGAAAAGATGGATCATCTGACTTCTAAACCTGCATTTTTAAGAATATTTTTTTGATGCCATTTGAACTTAAAAATAAACATTTTTTAGGGACTTTGGAAGAATGTGTGTATTTAGAGGACATTTTTAAGGAACTATCTAACAAATAAATATTGATTTTAGAAGAATTATTTCTAAGGAACGATCTGAATAGATATATACTAAAACAAGTAAAAAAGCAGTAAGCTCTAAATACCCTCCAACATTTGGATCGAACTTGGAATTTTTCAAAAAAAAAAAAAAAAAAAAAAAAAAATCCGTTAAAAATTCTTTTAAAATTCTAAAAATATCGAATACAGCCGTATGGTGGGGAGGCACTGATATATAGGGATAAAGAGCTAGGCCTATTGCTTTCAAAGATGTCCGCAATATATTTAGGGTTTGAAATGGATGAACAACTTGAAATGTTCCTGATTTTACAGACGTTATTAAGATCTCAAATACAAACCAAAGGACACGAAATCTCACATGAAGTTAGAAACAGCGGGTAGAATGGATTACTACTTTTGTGTGAAAAAATACCAACATTACTTACAGGTGATATCCAAAATACACAAACGCGAACTTTTGGCATTTTATGCTGATTTCGTTAACGAATATAGCCAAATATCGTAAACAAGCAAATCATATATTTGAGTCTAACTTTGGAGATACAAAGGGGCCTCTTGCTTTTGAAGATAATCGCAAAATATTTCGGGTTTCAAATGATCATACAATTGAAGCCAATCGACACGCCGGGGAAGAAAGTTAAGGACAGGGAAGAATTCTAGTATTTTGGATGACCATTGGATTATATTTAACTGTAAAATGGACCACAACAACTTACAGCACGACGGAGTGCGATAATATTGGTCAAATGCCTCTGGCCAAATGCTAAGAGTAATATCTGGGCAGTGCTTTATGACATAATTTGAAAAGCGAAATCTTCCAAAATGGATTTGGACATAAATGAGCTCCCAACATATTGTAGTGTTGTAGGGTATCACATGATCGGCCCCGCACGACTATAGTCTTAGGGAGGTACCTTTATGTGGGGGATATACGATATCGTGGAACTATATAGATAATAATTTTCCAGGGGGTAGAGTACTCAGAAAGATTTTTTTTCCGGATTTTCAGACAATTTCATTGAAAACAAGTACGCAAAGGCTACATTCGAGCGGGGCCGACCGTTGAATACCCTACAACACTATAATAAACGATACAGTTTATATAGGGGAATACTCGAAAGAATTCCACAAGATATTGTGACAAATAATAAAAGAAAACCATCAGGTTCCGTTCTCTAATTTTCGAATAATAGCAACTTAAACTAATTTGCTCATTTCCACTTTATTGGTAGATGTTGCACGTAAATGGTCTTCCTGGATCTGGAACCAATATTTCCCAAAGACCTATAATCTATCAGAAGTGGCAAAAGATCAACATTTATTATTGGTTTTTGACTTAAACGCATCTATGTGAGATACAGAGATTTGACTATATTCTTCAACGAAATCAGCCTTAACGAAATAGTCAGAAGTGCGTCTTTCCTGTATTTGTGAATTCTCCAAAAAGTCACTGGAGTGGACATTTTCGTATTTTGTCTACAAAAGTTGACAAACTCCTTTACACTTTGAATATTTTTGGATGGCCATCCAAAACTGCTTGGCTTTTGCAATGTCCGGTAACCCCCGTTCAAATGTGCCGAAGGATCGGACGATAATTACGAACTGCTGACAATTTTGCAGTTTTTTCGTCCATTTCAACCCCTACATATATGGCGACCATCTCTAAAAAGAGTAGGCTTCTATTCTGACCCTCATCTTATCCCCATGCAAAATTTCGTGAGGATCGGGCCATAAATGCGATCTGTATATGATATCCTGATACCCTAACTACTTAGTTTTGTTAGCTGTAGAAATATTACCAAATTTTTAATTCAAAATGAAAATATGCCAAAAATATGACAAAATTGAAAAAATATGAGAAAATTTTACCAAACCATATATTTTCATCTTTAGAGAGATAATTTTATGCTATTTTTTAGACGTTTTTTCTTTCCTGCCAAGGTGCCATTCCGAATTAATGAGAACTGTCGAAATCAGTTCAGCCGTTCTCGACATATAAGAGATTTTTCAAGCATATCTTCTTTGATAAACATATATATCGCACATATTTTGCTATAAATCCGTTTTGTTGGATGTTAACATCAATGTAAAGATCAGAAGTAACCTTGTCATGGCTTTGTGATTTCGCCGGGATTTAAAATATTCGCGGTTTAATGAAAGATTTTGAATTTTTTCAACACAAAAGATATGATCTATTTTACCCGCAAAATATTATCCGATGACCAAATTGGTAGGCTTCTTCCCCGCCCTAAACTCTAGCAACATGCGAAATTCCTCGTCGATTGGTCTATAATTGCGACCTGTATAGCTACTGCAAAATCCGATTTTTTTTTCAGTATTTGGTCCATTTCAACCACTAAACATTTGGCGATCATCTCCAAAAGAAATAGGCTTCTATTTTGACCCTAACCCCACCTTCGTGCAAAATTTCGTAAAGATCGGGCCATAATTGCGACCTGTAGAGTGATTACAAATTAACATGGACAGACGGACGGACGGACGGACGGACATACATAGCTAGATCGACTCAGCTCGGCGAGCTAGGAAGATCGATATATACTTTCCTATATGGGAAACCAATATTTCGAGGTGTTACATAAATTCTGGCTCAATCAAACTTATAATACCCCCAACACATAGTGTTGTAGGGTATAAAAATTGGCTACAATCATTAAAATACAGAATATTTGGGGGAGCGTTACATGGCTTAGAACTTGACCTGTCTGCAAACAAAGACTGATCCGTGCAAAATTTTAGCTTACTATCTTTATTCGTTTTGCATGATTAGAACAAACGAACGGTCAGATAGGATTTTACGCTGATCAAGAATTTATATACTTTGTTATGTCTAAAATTATTATTTCGATGAGTTACGAAAAGAGGTATAAAAGTATTTTCTGAGGGACTATATTAGCCTTGAAAATGGAGTTCTAAAACATATTTTCTATGTTTACTTACGGATTTTCAAACATTAATTTATGTGCTGAAATGGTAACAGCCTTGGGCAATCCCGTGGTACCCGAAGAACACATTATGCACACAGTCTGATCTGCACCCAATGTAAGTTTTTCAGGTCTATAAGAAATGTATTCAAAAAATAATTGTTTCTTTTTATTCCGAAAAACCGAAAATTATTCCGAAAATTATAACTCACTGGTAAAAATGTTCCTTGGGATTTGGTTCCAGTAACTCCAAAATTGAGGGCACACCTTCAATGTGTTCACTTATGGTATAAATATCGGCCTTAAAGGATTTTGTGGCATTTCTTATCTTCTCATAATCATGGCCATCACAAAAAATCACAGAGGGTTTGGTAATGCGAAAACAGTGACTGAGGGCATCTAAATTATTATGTAAGTTATGTAATTAATTTAGGGTAAAATCTTCAATTTATTGTGGACCAAACCTTCTTGATAGCAGGGATTGACTCCATGAAATGGTGTACAATTAAAGAAACAACCCAGGGCCACCGATGTCAGATAGGTGGTGTTACGTGCTGCTATTCCCACAATATCGTCATGACGCATTCGTCGACCTTTTAAAAAGAGAGCAATGCGAATGCCCCACGTTAAGGCTTCCTGATTGGTCACCGTTCTGTCATCATCATCGTCTATCTGCAAAGGAAGAAAACACAACGAAAGTACGTTCAATTTAAGAATTCCAGAAAATTTAGGATTTTCGATTCTGGTAAAAATACTCCTTTTATCATTATTGATATTATTGATCAATATTTAAAATAATTATGAGTATTATTTGCTATTCTCAACTCACCAATAAAATGTTCTTTGGATGTGTTCGCATTTGCCCATACAATATCCTGCCCACCGAATGATGTTCAATGTTATGCAGCGGTGCTATCTTAGGACCACTCCATATTTTATTATGTTTGTCGTAGTTCGCAGCAACAATATCCATATTTTGTATTTACTATTCAAATCCAATGTTGGCTTCTGGAATGTCTTCGCTAGACTAATTCCCCTACAATGCAAACGAATTACAAGTAGCTACTTTCTTTTTCAAATCAATTTTATATCTTATCAATATAGACTGTCTTCAATTAGTAATAGCCCCGGGCACACGTTTATTGATTTGTAGATATTGCGAATCTGACTATATTTTCGATGTCAGTGGCTGCATGTTTCATTGCCAACAGATCAGGAGTTCATAAATCGAAAATAAAAAACGTGACAATTACCCTGATTAATTGGTCAGCTTAATAAAAATGTAGACATAAAAGATAAAGAAAATGAGGAAAGCCAATAGTAAAGAAATGGGTTTTTAATTTTTAAGGTAACGAGGAACTAAAAATACTAAAAAAGCAATATAAAGGAGTTATGACCAAAATAAGAAAGTAAAATTGTCACACTAAATACGACGATTCAAAACATTCTAAAAATGCTAAAAATTCAAGAATAAAGTAGTTATAATCAAAATAATAATCAACAAGTAAGCAAAGGCTACAGTCGAGCGGGGCCGACCGTTGAATACCCTACAACACTATAATAAACGATACAGTTTATATAGGCGAGATACTCGAAAGAATTCCACAAGATATTGTGACAAATTATAAAAGAAAACCATCAGGTTTCGTTCTCTAATTTTCGAATAATAGCAACTTAAACTAATTTGCTCATTTCCAATTTATTGGTAGATGTTGCACTTAAATGGTCTTCCTAGATCTGGAACCAATATTTCCCAAAGACTTATAATTTCTTAGAAGTGGCAAAAGATTAACATTTATTATTGGTTTTTGACTGAAACGCATCTATATGAGATACAGACATTTGACTATATTCGTTAACGAAATAGTCAGAAGTGCGTCTTTCCTGTATTTGTGAATTCTCCAAAAAGTCACTGGAATGGACATTTTCGTATTTTGTCTACAAAAGTTGGCAAACTATTTCACACATTGAATAATTTTGGATGGCCATCCGAAACTTCTTGGCTTTTGCAATGTGCGGTAACCCCCTTTCAAATGTGCGTGAGGATCGGGCGATATTACGACCTGCAGACAATTTTGCAGTTTTTTGGTCCATTTCAACCCCTAAATATATGGCGATCATCTCCAAAAAGAGTAGGCTTCTATTCTGACCCTCATCTTATCCCCATGCAAAATTTCGTAAGGATCGGGCCATTAATGCGATCTGTATATGATATCCTGCTATCCTAACTATTTAGTTTTGTTAGCTGTAGAAATATTACCAAATGTTTAATTCAAAATGAAAATATGCCAAAAATATGACAAAATTGAAAAAATATGAGAAAATTTTACAAAATCAATATTTTCATCTTTAGAGAGATATTTTTATGCGATTTTTTTAGACGTTTTTTCTTTCCTGCCAAGAGGCCATTCTGAATTAATGAGAACTGTCGAAATCAGTTCAGCCGTTCTCGACATATAAGAGATCTTTCAAGCATATCTTCTTTGATAAACATATACATCGCACATATTTTGCTATATATCCGATTTGTTGGATGTTAACATCAATGTAAAGGTCAGAAGTAACCTTCTCATGGCTTTGTGATTTCGCCGGGATTTAAAATATTCGCAGTTTAATGAAAAATATATGGTCTGTTTTAGCCGCTAAATTTTATCCGATGACCACCTAAATTGGTAGGCTTCTTCCCTGTTCTAAACTCTAGATTGGTCTATAATTGCGACCTGTATAGCTACTGCAAAATCCGACATTTTTTCAGCATTTGGTCCATTTAAACCCCTAAACATTTGGCGATCATCTCAAAAAGGAATAGGGTTCTATTCTGGCCCGACCCCGACCTCCATTCCAAATTTCGTGAAGATCGGGTCATAATTGCGACCTGTAGAGTGATTACAATTTAACATGGACAGACGGCCAGACGGACGGACGGACATACATAGCTAGATCGACTCAGCTCGGCGAGCTAGGATGATCCATATATACTTTCCTATGTGGGAAACCAATATTTCGTGGTGTTACATAATTTTTGGCCCAATCAAACTTATAATACCCCCAACACATAGTGTTGTAGGGTATAAAAACGAAGTTTTAAAACACCCCAAAAATTGTGGAAATCTCAATAAAAAAGGAGTTATGGTCAAAATTAGAAAAAAAAAAAATGCGAAAATCTTAATAATAAAGGATTTATGGCCAAAATAAGAAAAACAATCCTAAAAATGCGAAAAACTCAATAATAAAAGTGTTATGTCCAAAATAAGAAAATCAAATGGTTACATTTAAGAAGCGATGATTTAAGGCACCCTAAAAATGCGAAAACCCCAATTGTAAAGGAGTTATGACCAAAAATTAGTTATTAAAATATTCACACTTAAGGAAACGACGATTTAAAACACCCTAAAAATGCGAGAAGAACTCAATAATAAAGGTGTTATGGCCAAAATAAAGAAATTGAAATAATTTTACTCAAACAACGAAGATTTAAAGCAACCTAAAAATGTGAAAAACACAAAAAATAAAGAAGTTATGGCCAAAATAAGCAAATTAAATGTTGTAGCAGATTGAGAAAAAAATATGAATGTAATCTTTGTAATTTGGGTATATATCCCCAACTCTATAAAATAAACTCTCTCCCTCTCTTTGGTCTCTCATAAGTCTAGTAATAAAGAATGAAGTAAATTAGTACACTCCGCTCAGTAGGCGGTAACAATTTAAAAGTGTTATACTAATCGTTCATGTATCACTCTTCTGCCCTAATACCTTGCGAACATTACATTCCAAACTACATTTAATGGTGACTTTGCGTTAGAGACCCAGATAGATAGTATTGTTGTTGCACAGGTCGATTTCAAAGTGACTGTTGCTAGGTTGTAAATATTAATATTGAGATCGATCTATTCTGTTCTGACCACCAAACCATCAATTTTAAAAACTTTACAATAAAAAGTGCTCACTGCAATGTGATTTTTTTCTAAAAAGTAGAAGTTTGCACATGGAATTTATCCAAACCCAAATTATATTTTTAACGTATTAACAGACAATATGCAAATAAAATATCTAAACAAAATTTAAATCAAGTTAAAAATTTTTACCACGTCATAATGGAGAAAGATGTTATAGCCTTAAGCCTGGATTTCCTATGAGGAGAAGTGGGGCATGGCCAATGCTGAGGTCCGATTTATGAATCTTTTAAAATTTTTTCTGTTTACCGCAGAAGAAGAAATTATTAAGTATATTTTTAAATATTTCCACCCATTAATAATTTACTCACATTTGGAACTTACATATTCACACAATAACAGAATAAATAAATTTAAATTTATCATTATGTTTGTCAATAAAATTTTATAATAACGTATCCATTGTTAAAATATGAAAACCAAAATTTTTATGAAGTTATTATTAAAAAGAAAAATGTACAAAAGTTAAAGTATATTACCAGAAATAATCAAAAAGCTTAATTCGTTAAACCTCAAAACTGTAAATCTTATAAAATATAAGTTTATATGTTTTTTTGTTAACCTTTAAAATTTTCTTAATATAAATTGCATGTGTGAGTTTATACGAGTAAATTCCCTACATTGCACGGTAGAACCCGGGGGCTATAAATAATGTAATGAATTTACAGACAGCCATTTTCATTGAAATATTATTCTTTTGAACATTTTACAGAAGTTCTTCGAATCCAATTGAATTGAGCTCAATCCATACGAAACATCGAAGGTAAACTCTTCTATCGAACATTTAATAATATTACATCGATCCAACTGTAAGTAAATAAACCATGCAACTTATATAAAATTACATAAAATATTCATTTGAGAAGACATTAATTTGTTAGGAACTCTAAAGAGCATTCGATTTTAACGAATGTTTATATTATTTTTAATAAATGAATTGTAAAGATTTGAAAATGTACTAGATTAATTTCATTGGAATAGTTGGTTGTGATTGTCTGAAGGATTCATGGACCTATATTCGGGAAAGCAATTCAAAGAACACAAGGGCATGGTTTGCATTTGGTTTTTTTTTAAAGGTGTCCCAGCGAACAACATCATTCGTTTACTTTGATTTTCACTCTATGACCTAATAAGTTCAAATATCGATTTTTTATTAAGTCTTGGAACGGTTTAAACTTTTTTTCTCTCTGCACAGTTTTTTTTTTGTTATGAGTTTGGTAAAGAACCCTCCCCAATCCGGCGAGCTCAGCCCTTCCTAATACCGTCCAATAACTCCTTGTGTAGAATTTCAGACAATTCCATTGACAATTTTAGATACGATCATCAAAATACCGAATATCAGGAGATACCTTTATATAGAGAATATACGATATCGTGGACTTATATAGACAATATTCTTCCAGGAGGTAAAGTACTCAGAAGAAACTCCTTTTGTAAATTTTCAGACAATTTCATTGACAAATTTGGCTACAATCATCAAAATACCGAATATCGGGGGGTACCATCTTCGAACTTGACATGCCTGAAGACAAAAGACTGATCTGTGCAAAATTTTAGCTATCTATCTTAATTTGTTGTGACTCGAGCGTCACTACAACAGACACACAGACGGACGGGTGGACAGGACTAAATCGTTTTAGAATTTTACGCTGATCAAGAATATATAAAATTTATGGGATCTAAAATTATTTCTTCGATGAGTTACAGACGGAATGATGAACTTAATATACCCTCCATACTACGTATAGTGGAGGGTATAAAAACAACACTTAAGCACGATAGACTCAATTACAATTGTCTTATCAAAATATATCTCAGAACACATTTGATTACTCTAAATACTTTTTTATATCGTATCATTGTCTGATTACCTCTCTTATTTTGATTTATATTGCTCTCTTCTTATCTATTGAACAAACGTTTACTTATCAGCTTACCGTGTCGGAGACAAGTGTTTGGCGATTGTTTGACCAAGACATGTGGATTCATTCATGAATGTGGTCAGTGTCCATTGATAACTCTCACCAACATTGTTTACAATCGTACAAAAGCATTTTGATGGGAGTTTTCCAGAATTCGTGATGGAATAGTGTGACTTCTTTATACTTGTCTAGAAAATCACAAGTGGCTATCGCTTGCATATAAATGTGAATAAATCTTTTGTATCTCGTACCATCGCTTGTTGCCGTGATACTGGTAGCATAGCCCGACGTCAAGGAAGTGGACGGAAGAAAGCCGCAACATCAGCAGAAATGGTTTGAAAAGTAAAGAAGCGACTTGATCGAAACCCGCATCGCAGTGGCCAAAAAAGGCTTGTGAGCTGAACATATCGCAATATTCCATTCGGCAAATATTAAAAACTGAGCTCGGGGTAAAGCCATTGACATTCCAAAAAGTGCAGGAACTTACACCGCAACAGAAAGAAAATAGACTCAAAAGAGCTAAAGAGTTGCTTCGCTTGGCCGAAAGTGGAAAGAATTTGGTTTTGGAAGTGGAAAGAATTTGGTGATCGTGTTTACTTACCAAAGAGGTCAGCTGAAAATGTGCACCTTCGGTTGGCCACCAGAACTCAAGCGGCGGTCGTGGTGATGGTGGGGGCCGTCATAACAACCGATGGTCGCTCTCCGCTCGTATTAATCCACCATGGCATCAGAATAAATGCCGAATATTATCGCGTAAACATTCTGGAGGGTGTATTAAAGCCTTGGGCACGCAAACATTTTGACCGCAGACCTTGGACATTCTAACAGGACCCAGCACCATCGCACTCAGCACGCGCCATCCGAGAATGGTTACAAAATGAGGTTCCTCGCTTCATTTCCAGAGCATAATGGCCACCAACATCTCCGGATAACAATCCGTTGGACTATTGTGTCTGAAGAATTTTGGAAAGCAAGGTTGGCACTAAAAAATACCAAAGTTTCGATCACCTCAAGGAAGCGCTTCGTCGGGAATGGACCAAAATATCGCAGAGCAACATTCGAGCAGCGTGTGACGGTTTCATTGGCCGTTTGAAAGCCACAATTTGTGCCGAAGGTGACCAATTCGAACAATTCTAAACTTGTTCTAAAATTCTATTTCCGACATTTTTGCTTTCATTCAATAAATTTTTAAAAAATATTGTATAAGCAAGTAAGCAAAGGCTATAGGCGTGCGGGGCCGGCTATGTGATACCCTACAACACTACAATATGTTAGAAGCCCCCTTATATCCAGATCGATTTTGGAAGGTTTCGCTTCTGAAATTATGTCTCGAGACATTGACCACAGACATTTGCCCAATATTTAAGCACTCCGTCATACTGTTAGTTGTTGTGATCCATTTTCCATTCAAAATGGTAGAATCCTGTCCTGTCCTTAACTCTCTTCTCAGGCGTGTCGATTGGCTTCAATTGTGTGATCAGGAATTTTTTTTCTGTTTTTGGTTCATTTGAACCCCTAAATATTTTGCGATCATCTCCAAAAGCAACAGGCCCCTTTGTATCTCTAAATTTAGACTCATCTTTATGATTTGCTTGTCTACGATATTTGGCTATATATGTCAACGAAATCAGCATAAAAAAAAACCAGAAGTTCGGCTTTTGTGTGTTTCGGATATCGCCTGTAAGTAGTGCTGGTATTTTTTCATACTAAATTTAGTAGTCCATTGTACCCGCTGTCCTAAAATCTAACTTTATGCGAGATTTCGTGTCCTTTGGTTTCTATTTGTGACCTTTACAAAGGCTGCAAAATCAGGATAATTTTTAGTTGTTGGTCCAGTTCAACCCCTAAATATATTGCGGACATCTTTGAAAACAATAGGCCTGGCCCTTCTGAGCCCAACCCTACCCTTGTGAACATTTTCGTGATGATCGGAAGATATTTGCAATCCATATATAATAACGCCAACCTGTGTTGTAAGGTGAAAAAATATTACAAAATATTATAAATCAAATTGAAAACATTGCATGCGATAAAAAATATGAAAAAATAAAACATGTCACAAAATACTACAATATCTATATAACAATATTATTGGTATATTTTCCAGCGATTTTTTTAGATTTTATACTTTTATGTCAAGAGGGCGTTCTGAATTGAAAAAAATTGTCAAAATCCGTCCAGCTATTCTTGAGATATAAGCATTCTAGCTAACATCCCCTTCCTTTTGCATATATACATTGTATATATTTCGCTATATATATCCAATATGCTTACTATCGGCATCTACGTAACGGTCAGAATTGACCTGTTCGTCTATTCGTGATTTCGCCGGGATTTAAAATATTCGCGGTTTAATGTAAAATTTAACTTTTATTTAACACAAATGTTACGGTCTATTTCACCCACTAAATATTACCTGATAACCATCAAAATTGGAAGGCTTCTGCCCAGTCCTAAGCTCTAGCGCCATGCTAACTTCCGCTTTGATTGGTCTATAATTGCAACCTGTAGAGCAACTGCAAAATCAGGATTTTTTTCAGTTTTTGGGCCATTTCAACCCCTAATAATTATGCGATCATCTCCAAAAGAAATATGGTTCTATTCTGACCCTAGCCCCACCTCCATTCTAAATTTCGTGAAGATCGGGCCATAATTGCGACCTGTAGAGTGATTACAAATTAACATGGACAGACGGACGGACATACATAGCTAGATCGACTCAGCTCGGTGAGATAGGAAGATCCATATATACTTTCCTATGTGGGAAACCAATATTTCGAGGTGTTACATGATTTTTGGCCCAATCAAACTTATAATACCCCCAACACATAGTGTTGTAGGGTATAATTATGGCGTTTGACTATGTTGCAATTTTTTTATCTCACTTTATTTAAAAGTTGGTCTGAGTTTTTAACGTCATACCAATAGGCCCTCCCAGATATTAATCACCTCCCTCACCTTTAACTGTCGAGGAGAAATTTTGGGACGTATCTTATGATATGTGGTGGTAAATGTTACCCCTCTTCAATTTACAAAAAGAAAGTTTATTTAAAAATATTTCTTGATAATTATTTTATTATAAGTAGTAGCTTGTATACTATAAATAAAAATAAGTAAAAAACAGCTTTTATTCATTTAAATAAAACATGTACTTTAATTCTTTCCCATCGAAGCGAGAATTTCAACAAAATGTGATGGGAGGATAAAAATTTCCAACTCCCCATTAGTTAAAGATTTACTCACGTGGGTGGGGATACAATGCATCAATCCAATAAAACTCACAGCCCATTTAGACATCATCATAAAAACAATATTTTATTTTCAGTCCATCTTCATACACCTATATATCGAACATTAATGGTCTAATGACTGCTCCATGTGGGATTTAAATACGTCTTTAGCTTCACGCTTCAGAACTTTGCCATTACAATTTTGAGGTAACTTGTCCACAAAGTATACACCATTATGTAGCTGTTTATGGGGTTCGACCAAACGACTTCTTACATACTGCACAATTTGTTGGGTGGACAATTGACTACCGCTCTTTTTCAAGACTAAGGCACCAGCAACATCACCTTAGCGTTCATTGAAAATACCCACCACACAACAATCGATCACATCGGTCAGCTCTCGTATGGCATTCTCTATCTCACCCGGCCAATATTGGAAACCATTATATTTCATAATATCCTTTTTACGATCAACAATATAGAGGAAATTCTCTCCATCCATATAACCCAAATCTCCGGTGTGATACCAACCCAAAGAATCCATGACACGTTGCGTCTCCTCGGGATTTCCATAATATCCAGCCCATGGGTATGGACAATGTACCAATATCTCACCAATTTCATTTGAATTCAAGTTACGACCCTGCTCATCGACAATACGCAGCTGCACGTTGGGCGCCATCTTTCCAACCGAGCCACTGCGTTTCAGACCAATGTCAATGGAAATCATTCCCACCTCGGTAATGGCATAGCTAATGCCAATAAAACACTGCGGCATAATGAGCTTAAGATTTTCAAAAACTTGCTGGGATATATAACCGCCACCAGTTTGAAGTATTTTAAAGCTCGTCATATTTTCTTTTGTAAAAATGGGACAATCTAAAAGTTCGACCAATTGGACGGGAGCAAAAATGGCCGATTGGATTTGATATTTTTTCACCATCTCTACAAATTCATTGGCCCTGAATGGTTTGCGATTTAGAATGCGCGTAAACCCGGTGTAGCAGTTGTGTATAAAAGTTCCAAGTCCGCTTATCCAATCTATTCCGCTGGATGTATAGATGACGGTGTCGATATTAACAAATCTAGAGAATTGGGAAAAATGAAAATAAAGAAAGTTTAATGAGTAAAATGTCTCTTGGATTTAGGGCTAAAATGGAGACATCTATAATTCCTGGCAGTTTGAACAATATTATAGCTGTTTAAGAATATTGGATTAACTCTACTTTTGTAAAAAGTCTGGGATTTTTTTTTTTTTTTTTTTTTTGAAAACTTTCCTTGACCAAAGTTTCATCCGAACTTACTAAATCGATATCATGTTAAAATACCTAGCCAACAAGTCGCCACATTATGGGGCTATTAAAAACGATTCGGAATTATTTATTTATTGTTAATATGTTGGACTCGAATTTTTCATAAAACATCCAAAGAGTCGAAAAAGAGCCCATTATAGGAGTCCATAAAAAATATACCACAAGTTATAACTTACAATCCAATCTCTCCAAAATGCTACAAGATATGCTCCTATATTTTCTGGATCCAGAGATATGGGTTTTTGGAACCCAGAACAACCCGTTTCTGTTCCGTATATCGAACTCCAGTTTTCTGAATTTGATATTGGTAGGGCTTGAGATTTTCTCCTCAGGGTATTTTCAACACCGGCTACGCGAACTAAAGTTTTTATACCCTCAGTCATATGGCTGCAGAGGATATATATAATTTTATACGTCCAAAGCTTTCCTTATCGAAGTAACGATAGGTCTAAAATCGTTACTTCGATAAGGAATGTTTTGGACGTATAAAGTTATATATTTTTTTTGACCAAATCCATTTCAGGATATTTGGAGTCGATCTACGGTTGTCGACCCGTTCGTCCGTATGTCTTTCTGCCTGGCTGGCTGGTATGCATGATAACTTTTGAAGGGAGTGTCCGATTTGATCCAAACTTTGTACACCGTAATAGTACTGTCAAACTTAGATTGAGTTCGGTGATGGACAACTTTGGACCACTCCTTCTGGTTTTCACAATTCAAATATTTTTATTGGGGCTAGGACATGTGCGAAAATAGACAATATCTCCTCACAACATCAAGTACCCCCACCACCATAAAGGGTCGAAATTTGAAATGAATATAACTCTTATCAGATGTGAAATAAGACCTTCAAATTTCACACATCCCAATATTTTTATTAACACAAGATCTGGTGTGAAGATGGGATATATCGGTCCACTCCTTCTGGTACCTCCCTCAGAACGTATCAAAATTTTGACTAGCCACCAGGCTCGTTAAACACGAAATTACCATCCAATTCCTTTCAAACTCGCCACATCTAAATATTTCTATCAACTCAAGATCTTTTGTGAAAAAGTTAGATATCGGCACACTCCATCTGGTACCTCCCCAACAAAGGGTCAAAATTTTGAATAAACATGAAGATCGTAAAACATGAAGTGGTCATCAAACTCCTTTCAAACTTAGCACTTCTCAATTTTTCTATCAATGCGAGATCTATTGTGAAGGTGGTAGATATCAGCCCACTACTTCCGGTACCTCCACCACAAAGGGTCAAAATTTTGAACAAGCAAGACGATCATAAAATGGGACTTCTCCTAAAATTTCACACATTATTATATTTCTACTAAAGCAATATCTATTGTAAAGATGGAATATATAGGACCACTATTTCTGGTAACTCCCTCACATGCGAAATCAGCATCCGATTCATTCTAAGCTTCACATATTCCAATATTGCAACTAATACAAGATCTGGTGTTAAGATGGAATATGTTGGATCACTTCTTCTGGTACCTCCCCCACAGAGCATCAACATTTTGTAGGAAGTAGTCGATATAGTTCAAATTTGACAAGTTTGTATATTTATATCAGAATTAAACCAGATCACAATGGGCGATATTGGCCCAGTCCTTAAGAATCCCCCGAGATATTGAAACAATTCCGGTCAATAATGTCCTTAAAATCATCAACATACCAAATATCGGGGGGCATATGCAATTTTTGTCATGGGCTGAAGTACCCATTACGAACTTCAAATACGATATTTAAAAGAATTCCGACGAATAAAGTCGCGAAAATCAACAAAATAACGAATATCGAGGGATACCGTTATATGGGGGCTATACGATATCGTGAACCTATATGGACAATTCTCTTCAAGGGGGTAAAGTCCTCAGAAAGAACTCCTTGTGTGGACTTTAAGACAATTTCATTGAAAAATGTAGCTAAAATAATCGCCGAATATAGGGAGGTACCATTATATGGGGGATATATGATATCGTAGACTGCCTATATAGGTCCACTTTCACTTTCAGGAAGTAAAGTACTCACAAAGAACTCCTTGTGTAGAATTTCACACGATTTCGTTAAAAAATGTGGCAAAAAATTAAAATACCGAATATTGGGGGTACCGTTATATGGGGGCCATACGATATCGTGGACCGATGTAGCAAATCTTCGAACTTGATCTGCCTGCAAGAAAAGACTGATCTGTGCAGAATTTAAGCTATACTTTGTTAGGTCTAAATTTATTATTCCGTTACAAGCGGAAGGACGAACTTATTATAACCTCCATACTATGTATGGAAGAGGGTATGAAAAAAGAAATTATAATAACTTTCAAAAGATCTCAAATTGAAATCCATATCTTCTGGTATCCCTTCCACAAATAGTCAAAACTTGCAAGTATGCTTTGCTCGATTTCGAGTGAGAGGAAAAAAAAATTGAGCAGATTCCACTAAGCTCTGATACATACATGTATAAATGGCCACAAACAGGGGAGTGGTGTATGTTTTTCGGGAAACCGACTGAAACTTTCTAACTTGTTCAAACTCAAAGATTGTTTAGAATTGAATATAACCTGCCAAGGTGAATAATGGTAATACTCTTTTAATTCCCCAAAAATCGGCTATTATATGGGAGGGTGACACCTAAACCATTCCCCAACAACTTCAACAATCAGATAAAAAGGGTTAATCAACATTTTTCTTACGGATGTTCAATAATTATCTTATGAGCCGAAATGGTTACAGCTTTGGGTAGTCCCGTCGTTCCCGAAGAACAAAGAATGGCAATGGTTTGATCTGCTCCCAGAGTAAGCTTCTCGGGCCTGTAACAAAAGACATATAATTGTCAAGAACTTAAAAAATATTTTTTAAATATGAGAATAACACTTACTGATACGATCCTTCCAACGGATTGGGTAGCAGTAAATCCAAAACCGATGGTACACCCTCAATGTGATCGATTAGGGTGTAAATTATGGGCTCAAACGATTTGGTAACCACATGAATTTTTTCATAATCGCTGCCATCACAGAAAATTACTCGTGGCCTGGTTAGGCTAAAGCAATGTGCAATAGCCCCTACATTTCCAGATAATCGAGGGTAATTGGATGTACTCTAAATTTGTATTGCACTTACCTTCATGAAAATTTGGATTAACAGCATGAAAGGGATTACAATTGAAGAGACAACCCAAAACAACCGATGATAAGTGGATGGTGTTTCTGGCCGCTATGCCAACAATATCCTCATGAGTCAATTTCAAAGATTTCAAATGTAAGGCGATGCGAGTTCCCCATGTTAGGAGCTCGCCGCTGGTTGCTGATGTTCCATCGATATCGTCAATCTGAAATCAATGAAAATCTTTAGAAGCTATATACGTCTAAAAGACGTACAGCAGGTAGCCCATCTACTGAATATCTTCTGTAAAAAAACTGCCGAATATCCATCCAGAAAAGACCTTTAGAAAGCAAGCTTTACCTGTATCACATTTCTTGGATTTATCCTCATTTGACCAAATAGTATTCTACCAATCGAATGATGTTCAATATTGTGTATGGGAAAGACTTTCGGGCCACTCCATATCTTATTTTCTCTATCAAAACTGGTATTGAGACTATCCATTCTGCCTGGGTCGCAACAGTATTTTTTCTTCGATGGTGGTCTTAAAACTGAACGAAATTTTTTATTTTTTTAACAACCGTCCATATCTAATCGTTTCAACTTATCAAGGCAATGTGAAATTTTGGGCAATAATTTCAGTTTTTCGGATTTTTATTTACACAATTAACGACACCTGTTACACTGTGCTACACAAATGGAAAACCCCTTTTTGAGTCAGTTGTATCTTGAGAGTAGAAGTCGAGTTCAGAACGTTTGCTCTCAAGAAAAATTCCACTTTTTTCTAATCGCAAATACTTTTCTGTGCATGGCTGACGATAGGTGTTAGATTTGACAAATGCTATTTCAATATATCAAAAATTTAAAGTGCGGCATACCTTTGGGCTGTTATAAAATGAGTAAAAAAGAAGTAAAATAGTATCAGTCAGTTTTGCCGACAAATTTAAGCAATGAGTTTATGGGGGAGGTTCCGAGGCAGTTGTCCAATATTGACCAATTCGTATCTGATCTAAGATTGATATAAGTATTACATCTTTACTATAGTTTATATGAGATATGTGCACATTTTTGGAAAATGTGGAAATATACGTGAGGTAACACAAATAGTCGACCAAAGTATTCCATTTTCATACTTCATCTGCCGACATATTCTATCTTCACACCAGACCTTGGGTTAATGCAAATATTGTGATGTGTGTAATTTGAAGACAATCGGGCTCTTACATCATAATTTATAAGAGTTATAACTATTCAAAATTTTGGCCGTTTGTGGAATTGAATCGATATTGTCCATTTTCGCACCTGATATAGCATTGATGCAAATATTAGGATTTGCAAAGTTTGGAGCAAAATCGAATCATCTTTTCTCTTTCTGTGCAGCAAAATAGTTTTCTTGAAAATTTCGACATTTTGTGGGGGAGGTACTTGAAGGAGTGGACCGATATTGTTAATTTTCGCACCTGTCATAACACTGATGCAAATATTAGGATTTGAAAAGTTGGAGCAAAATTAAATCATTTTTTCTCTTTCTGTGCAAATTTTGTCGATATTGTTTTTTGAAAATTTCGACGTTTTGTGGGGATGTACTAGAAGGAGTAGACCGATTTTTCCCATCTCCAAACTCGATCTAAGTTTGACAATAATATAACGATGTACCAAGAATGGACCAAATCGGATACTCCCTTCAAGAGTTATCGTGCACATCAACCAGCAAGCCTGAGAGACGTACGGTCGGGCATCGCTAGATCGATTCCAAATGTTCTGAAACGGATCTTGTCTAAAGAGAACAAGGGTCTAAAACCGTTATTTGTGATGTATACCCTATCTAGCCATATGGCTGAGGGTATGAAAAATGATCAAAAATCTATAAGAGAAATCGATTCCATACGATATTTAATCGAAATGTTGTAACGACACTAAGTCCTCCGTTTGCCAGGGCATGCCCACGGTGGACAGAGTCTGTTTCAGAAATTTGATTGTGTCAGTGGCCAGAGTAAGAAAGTGAAGGGTTTTGTAGCTGCTTCTGGCCTTATTGGATGTTTCGATATTAACTAAATTAATAATTCAGGAAAAAGGAGCTGCAAGTCCACCTCTGGGGAGTCGTCTATTTCCGAAGAAAGCATTATGAGGTGTTTTGTCCTGAAGACCTAATACGGTTATCCGATGTCCACTTTTGTTCCACTTGACCGAATGGTCAATATATTTTTCAGAATTGGAACGGTTTTCGAAGGGTGTGAAGAATTTTTCGGAACGCTACTAGACGATGACATGCCCTATGACTCTTCGGTAGATCCCTCGTCGGACGACCAAATTCTTTTCCCTGAAACCGTTTGTTAGTTTCCTAAACGGTGGATAGTTTGCAAAGCTAGTCCTCCCTGCGGTGTCGTAGACAGCTTAGGAAACTAGTTATTGTAGATCTTTTCTGCGTAGACGTAGACGCCTTACCAAAAAACTCGTCTTCGCAACACTTCGCGAAATAGTAGACGGGCTATCAAAAAACACGTCTTCACAAAAAATTGGGAGCGGAAACGCACACGGCTTACGAAAACTCATCTTCGTATCGTTTCGGATGCGAAGTCGTAGATGAATCTCGTTTTCGTATCACTTACGAAAACTCGTCTATACAGCACTTCGGCCACGGAACCGTAGGCGGCTTTCAAAAACTCGTCTCACCAAAGTTCGGACGCGGCTATTTATACCCTCCACCATAGTATGGAGGGCATATTAAGTTTATATCTATATATATAAATGTAAGTTGTGTTAGTTACTACGCTTATAACTTAAGAACCGCTGGATTAATTTTAACGATTCACACAAATTCGGAGTTGTCTACTCTCCGAAAAGGATAATATCCAAAAAAATCGCGTAAAAATGTGATATATTAACATTTTCATTTTGACTTTTGAAATGTACAATAGTAATGTTTTATTTTGCATGATTTTTTTTCCATTTTGACTTACTTTTTTCTAATGTACATTTGTAGTGTTTTTTTATATTTTATTTTTGAATTCGAATATTTATACCAATTTATTTAATTGACTTGATTTCTTGAGAACTGAAATTGATGGCGGGTTACATGGAAGTGTAGTAGCGAATTATGTGGTGGCGAAACGGAATAGATGATATCGAAATAATTTAACGCGGTCACACCAAAGTTAAAAGATAATTACTTTTTCTAAATCGCTGAAAAATCATGAAAAAGAGATCTCATTGCAAAAATCAAAAAAACATTTTCAATGGAATCGAATTTTAAAGTAATAGTACATTCTATTGACAAACTTTGTAAGGAAGGATCTTAAAACATTTGCTGTAAAAAATCAGCGAAAAAGTTGAAGACTTTTTCAATTTGTTATTCTTTTTTTTTGTCAATTTTTTTTTTTTCAATTTGTATTATCATATTGAATTCAGTGGATTTTTTGTGAACAAAATAAAGAATAATTTTTCACTAAAAAAATTAAATAAGTGCGAAATAGGATGTTAACTGACATCTACCTTTCAACTCCAGGGCCTACATCGTTGGTTAGCTGGAAGATGCGAACACATTTAAACAAACAAAAATGACCGAAAAAGCTTAATGGGGCTCATTTCAAAGCGTGGCAATGATCCGTCCAATGAGAGCTCAAAATGCAAAATTCTTTGGGAGAATAATAAGTAATATACCAATATTGAAATAAAAGGTGCAAAATAGTAGAGCGAATGGGACTTTTAGTAGGAAAAGGTTTTATATCCTTCCAGAAATTCTTCCCAAACATTCAAAATACCTAAAATCACTTTTGCAGGTCTTTATATCGATCATAACTCACAGATAAGGGAACAACCCGATTTCATATTTATATAACCATCTATGATTTAAGTTATTTTTGGGGTCTTGGCCGGCCACTTTTTTCATTTTTTGGCCCTTATTTGACATTTTTGTTTCTATGGGGGTAGATAACCTCTTCGCATAAAATTTGAAATTTTCAGAGTAGGGCACATATTGGTATTGATCACATTCATCAATTGATTTGGCTAAAAAAATTTATTTATGCCACCCTGGGGTAGGGAACCATCATACAGATAATTGCCACATAGCAATTTATTTAAGTAAAGTCCCCACATTGGAGTATCCCCAAGTCCACTTTCACATCTAATGTGTGGTCAGAAAAGAAAATTTTGTATTCTATTGAATTTTTAACCCCCAAGAGAATATTGGTTGGGAACGTAGATTTGGGATGTGCATCCATATGAAATAAATTGTGGAAACATGAACAAATTACAAATATAAGAAAGTAGCACGGGACCGAATATTTGTTTAATCATCATTGAATTATCCTATGATGAAAATATGGACTTTAAGGGGTCTCCAACTTACAATTTAAATGGCAAATAAAATTAATTCCCATCTTATCATTCTGCCCTCAATTATGAGGTGGATAAAACTATTTTTACTTATTTAAATCACGCGAAATGCTATGACATGCTATATTGTTCTGCTATATTTTTGATTTGGCCTCTATTTGTCATCTTGGATTATAAGGGGTAGAAGAAAGTTTTCAATGTAGGTCGATTTTTCGGAGTAGTGCCCATATAAAGAAGGTACCTCCTAATTTAACCACATTTCAAAGAATTTGGCTAATAATGCGTATTAGGGGAGTGAAAATCTTACACTAAAATTTCAACATATCTACAAATTTTAGAATTTTTATCCATGTTATAATACCCTCTCAAGTCCACCTTTTGGCGGACAAACAGACTGACATGGTTAGGGGGACTTATGAGCACTCTAATGCACAATCTAAGTTGCTAATGGGTTTAAAAAAGTAATTAACTTTGGCTATTCTTAAATCATTCAGCCCTCAATTATGTAGTATACAAAATACAGCAAATTCCAAATTACTGCTCATTTGACTGGAAGATTTTGCTACGATTTTTACCATATTAAAAATTAATTTGATCCCTTATATGGCGATAAGATTGATATATACTTTTTAATAGATTTGTATAGCACATCCACACAGTTGAAGCCCACGGTTTAAATATTGAAGCCCACTGGTTAAAAATGGGTACAGGTATTTTAAAACACTTTAAATCGTATATCTGTGAATAATTATGCCTTGGAATATATGCATAATAGACAAAAACTACGGGCCGGCAACGCGGACCGGGCCAGCTAGTATATATATATATATATATACTAGCTGGCCCGGTCCGCGTTGCCGGCCCGTAGTTTCAGTCTTTAATGCAAATTTTGCATAGCATAATATTTTACAAACCTAGCTCATAAAGGTGAACAAATTTTAATGGTTATATTGATTCGACTAAATAGAAATAAATAACTATGGAAGGAGGGCAAAATAATTTACACCCATTACTATAGCACCTCAAATTGCGCATTAGAGTCCCCAAAAAGTCTATGTTCTTGTTCATAGTAAAATTCAATGACGATTAAACAATACCCACGTTGTTGTCCGCCAATCGGTAAACATCACTATAGATCGGCGGGCCTGGGGACTATATGGGGACTGTACCAAAATATTTACGTATGTTGTCATTTTTCTGTAAGATGGTTCTCTACTCACAAAGTAGCCTAAATACAGCAAATAATGGCCAAATCAGTTGAAAAACGTGGCCAAGATCACGGTCACAGCTGAAATCAGGAGTACATTTATATGAGGGTTATACCAAAACGTGGCACAACCAATATTCTCTTGGGGGTTACAAATTCAATAGAAAACAAAATTTTCTTTTCTGACCACACATTAGATGTGAAAGTGGACTTGGGGATACTCCAATATGGGGACTTTACTTAAATAAATTCCTATGTGGCACTCTGTATGATGGTTCCCCACCCCAGAGTAGCATAAATACAATTTTTTAGCCAAATCAATTGATGAATGTGGTCAAGACAAATATGGGCCTTATTCTGAAAATTTCAAATTTTATGCGAAGAGGTTCTCTACCCCCTTAGAAACAAAAAGTGCCAAATAAGGACCAAACAAAGAAAAAAGTGGCCAAGACCGCAAAAATATCTTAAATCATACGGAGGTTATATAAATATGGGTTAAATAGGGTTGTACCCTTATCAGAGAATTATGATCGATATCATGACCTGCAAAAGCGATTTAAAGTATCTTGAATGTTTGGAAAGGATAGAAATCCTTTTCTTACTAAAAGTCCCATTCGCTCTACTATTTTGCACCCTTTATATTTGGTATTTTACTGATTGCACTCCCAAAGAATTTTGCATTTTGAGCTCTCATTGGACGGATTATTGTCACATGAAAGAAGTAGGTTCAGGCTTTGAAATGAGCCCCATTAGGTTTTTTCGGTCTTTTTTGTTTGTTTAAATGTGTTCGCATCTTCCAGCTGAAAAAAGGTGTAGGCCCTGGAGTTGAAAGGTAGATGTCAGTTTACATAGTATTTCGCACGTATTTCATTTTTTTGGTAAAAATTATATATATTGAAAAATTATTCTTTATTTTGTTCACAAAAAATTCCATTGAATTCAATATGATAATACAAATTGAAAAAAATCTTCAACCTGTTCGCTGATTTTTTACAGTAAATGTTTAAAGATCCTTGCAAAGTTTGTCAATAGAATGTACTATTATTTTTAAATTCGATTCCATTGATTTTTTTTAGATTTTTTCCCAATTTGAGAATTTTTGCAATGATATCTCTTTTTTTGTGATTTTTTTGCGATTTTGAAAAAGTAATTATCTTTTAAATTTGGTGTGACCGCGTTAAATTATTTCGATATTCCATTTCGCCACCACATAATTCGGTACTACACTTCCATGTAACCCGCCATCAATATCAGTTCTCAAGAAATCAAGTCAATTAAATAAATTGGTATGAATATTCGAATTCAAAAATAAAATATAAAAAACACTACAAATGTACATCAGAAAAAATAAGTCAAAATGGAAAAAAATAATGCAAAATAAAACATTACTATTGTACATTTGAAAAGTCAAAATTAACATGTTAATATATCACATTTTTACGCGATTTTTTTGGATATTATCCTTTTCGGAGAGGAGACAACTCCGAATTTGTGTGAATCGTTAAAATCAGTCCAGCGGTTCTTAAGTTATAAGCGTAGTAACTAACACAACTTTCTTTTATATATATAGATATATATATATATATATATATATATATATATATATATATATATATATATATATATATATATTTGATAAGCATAAATTCTATGTCGATTAAGCGATGTCAGTCCGTCCGTCTGTCAGTCTATCCGTCTTTCCGTCTGTGGAAATCACTTTAGCTTCCGAACGAAATGGAGTATTCATATCTACAACGAATTTGGGTAAATTGTGCACCAAATGGCCGATATCAGTCCAAATGACCTGAATTTTGGTAGCTTCCACCGAATTCAGTCTAGAAGCAAGTGTATCGTATTTTCAAAAGGACCAGCAGAGCTATACATTTGGATTTTTAAACATTATTTCAACAGGCAAATAGATTTACAAACGAGGAATTTTTTATCATACCATCTAAAGGACCAGCAGAGCTGCAAACGAGTATTTTTAAACATATTAAACATTTAAGGGTATTTTCCAAAGGACAAGGCTATAAACGACATTTTTCAAAATATGTTCTAAAGGGCCAACTAAGCTATAAGAACTAAGAGAAATATAATCGCGGTTTTAAAAATATTTTCATTTAGAGATAGCTTATATGTTATCTATGTAAGGATATATATATCTGCCATCAGTAATAATAATCCTGGCATTCGTTGAAAATATCGAATTTCGACAAAGATACGTCCTCAAAACTTAAATATATGTATATTTCCAATGAGGCATTATTAATTCAAATTAATAAAAAACCGCCATCAATACTTCTTTTCACTACATAGTGTTGTAGATCGTTGTGTCAGATCGCAACGTTTAAAACAAACAAAAAATCATAACAAAAGTCACCTGTAATCAGTCCCTGACGTCATTATCATTTAAATACATCTTGACCAATTATGACACGCACTGAGTCATAAACGTTGATATGGCCTCATATCTGGCACGTTTTTCGAGAAACCCCCACTGATAACACCAAGTGTTTGACAAAAAAAAAAATTTTATTGTGTTTGGGATTTCCGAATGACATGGCAATTTTGGAGGTGTCTATGTCAGAAATTCGATTAGATGCATATAGTGTGATGTAGGGAAGTTTGCATGTCTTCGAGTTACTTATGGGGAATCAGTTTTTAAGAAACTACACTGAAAAAATTGTTAAAAAAAAATAAATAAATAAATAAAATAAAATAAAATAAACCAGTAAAAACAGTCTTAAAGTCGGGCGGGCCGACTTTATGATACCTACACCACTTTGCTAATTTAGTAGAGCTGCGCATAAAAATTTAAAGTTTTTATGGGAGAATTCAATCATACACTCTATGATTATAATTATAATTTAAAGTTTAAAGGACTAAATATGCCGTAGCATTTGTATGTTTTAAATTCGGAGCTTTATTGCCCATTTGGTGCACAATTAATTTGAAATCGGAAAAAATATATATGGGAGCTATATCCAAATCGGAACCGAATTCGATAAAATTTGGCAAAGATATTTCTGAGCTGTATTTGATATATTTCCCTGAATATCGTTGTTACGGAGTGCATATTATGGCTGTGAATAACAAATGTGACAAATCGGATGAACGGTATATATGGGAGCTATAGCTATATCTGAACCGATTTCGATGAAATTTGGCATACTAGCTTCTAGACTCAATTCGGCCAATTTGGGCAAATATTAGACGTTTGGTGCACAATCAAATTTAAATCGGACGAAGTTATGTATGGAGCTATATCCAAATCTGAACCGAACTCGATAAAAATTAGCAAATGTATTTCTGAGCTGTATTTGATATATTTCCCTGAATATTGTTGTTACAGAGTGCATATTACGGCTGCGGAAGACAAAAATAACAAATCGGATGAACAATATATATGGGAGCTATAACTATATCTAAACCAAATTTGGCATACTTATTTTCAGGTCCATTCTGATCGTACGTGCAAAATTCAATACTCTTAGGACTGATATTACATGTTTGGTGCACAATAAAAGGCAAATCGGACGAAGATATATATGGGAGCTATATCTAAATTTTGACCGATTATCTCCAATTTCAATGGGGCTCGTCCTTGGGCCAAACAAATGATTTGTGCAAAATTTCATCTGGATAGGGCAATAAATGCGAACTGTACTTTGTTTACAAAAATGCATGGACAGACGGACGGACATGTATAAATCGACTCAGAATGTGATTCTATGCAGATCATCAAAAGGAACTATGGGTCTATCTCGTTTCCTTTTGCCTGTTACAAACAAATGCACAAAGACATAACACCCTGACCACCTTGTGGTGTAGGGTATAAATACTGTCTTCTAGCTCTATTAGTCTTTAAAAAAAAATATTAAAAAAGAGTTTTTTAGCTCTCTTGGTCCTTCACACATTTTTATACCCTACACCACATAGTGGGTATTATGTCTTTGTACATTTGCTTGTAACATGGAGAAGGAAGTGAGATAGATACACCCATAGTTACATTTGAGGATTTCCATAGAATCACTTTCTGAGTCGATTTATGCATGTCAGTTCGTCTAACCGTCCGTCCATGTATTCTTGTGAACAACATTTGTTTGGCCCAAGGACGAACCCTCTTTAAATTGGTGATAGTCGGATCAGATTTAGATAAAGCTCCCATATATCTTCAACCGATTTCGGGTTAATGACTAATATAAGTGACCTGTACTTTGGTACATCCGACCGGATGAATTATGCTTTCCAAAATACTCCAGACACAATAGTCCAACGGATTGGTATCGCGAGATTTTGATGGCATTCGGAGGAACCTCATTTTATAGCCATTTTTGGTTGGCACGTGCTGAGTCCTGTTGGAATGTCCAAGGTATGCGGCCAAAATGCTTGCGTGACCAAGGCTTTAATACACCCTCCAGAATATTTCGCGTTAATTTTCGGCATTTATTCCTATGCCACGGTCCATTAATACGAGCGGAGAGCGACCATCCATGGCGGCCCACACCACACCATAACCGGCGCTTGAGTTTTGGAAAATAAATTCACAAATCCACGTTTATAATTCTGATAATACTGCAAAAATGTGTATTTTTCTAAATCCATGTGCTTGGTAAAGAATATTTAAAAAGTTAAGGTCTTCCTAAAAAGCGGTTTGAAAAAAAATCCAAGTCCTTCAAAAAGTTATAAATTAAATTGAAACAGCTCTTGAGAGAGTTCTTGAAGATTAATATATTTTTATTTTACTTTCTCATAAATTATTCTTGGTAATAACAAGTTAACGATCCAATCGCGACGACATTTTTTCCACAAATGATTTTAACAATTCCTTTGCCTCCCGCTTCAGAATTTTCCCATTCACATTTTGTGGCAATTTCTCCACAAAATATACTCCATTGTGCAGCTGTTTTTGTGGTTCATCCAACCGATTTCTTACATGCTCCACAATTTGCTGAACTGACAGTTCACTTCCACTCTTCTTTAAGACCAATGCGCCGGCAACATCACCATACCGTTCATTGAAAATACCCACCACACAAGAATCCACCACATCGGTTAATTCTCGTATGGTGCTCTCTATCTCATCGGGCCAATAGTGGAATCCTTTGTATTTCAAAATATCCTTTTTACGATCGACAATATAGAGATTACCACCCTCAATATAGAGATTACCACCCCTGTGAGTCAAACATGCTAAGTGTCTCCTGGGGGTTACCATAATAACCTGCCCAAGAGTATGGTAAGTGTACCAAAATTTCACCAGTTTCACTGGGCCCCAATTGGATATTGGGGAACAGTTGCCCCACAGAATCGTTGTGCCGACAACCAATATTAATGGCGATGCCACCCGTCTCCGTAAGGGCAGACACAACACATATTGTACATTGGGGCATAACCTTTTGCAACTTGCCCACAAGTTGCTTCGACACATAGCCTCCACCACAATTCAGAAATTTAAAACTGGCCATATTTTCGTCGGTAAATGTTGGACAGTCAAGAAGTTCAACCAATTGAACCGGAGCTAAGATAGCTGAGGATATTTTATATTTTTTCGTCATTTCAATAAATTCGATGGCATTGAATGGTTTGCGGCTAACAATTCGTGTGGCACCACTGTAGGAGTTTTGTAAAATCGACAAGAGTCCACTTGCCCAGTCCATACCACTGGAGGTGTAGAAAACCTCGTCGACATTCGAAAATCTGAAAGGGACCAAAAAGAAAAGTAATAGATATTAATATATTGGCAACATATAATCTAGTCGGCTTCCTCAACGGTATATGAAAAATCCTATTGAGGCAACGATACATTGAAATCTATATATATAAATGTAAGTTGTGTTAGTTACTACGCTTATAACTTAAGAACCGCTGGATTAATTTTAACGATTCACACAAATTCGGAGTTGTCTACTCTCCGAAAAGGATAATATCCAAAAAAATCGCGTAAAAATGTGATATATTAACATTTTCATTTTGACTTTTGAAATGTACAATAGTAATGTTTTATTTTGCATGATTTTTTTCCATTTTGACTTACTTTTTTCTAATGTACATTTGTAGTGTTTTTTTATATTTTATTTTTGAATTCGAATATTTATACCAATTTATTTAATTGACTTGATTTCTTGAGAACTGAAATTGATGGCGGGTTACATGGAAGTGTAGTAGCGAATTATGTGGTGGCGAAACGGAATAGATGATATCGAAATAATTTAACGCGGTCACACCAAAGTTAAAAGATAATTACTTTTTCTAAATCGCTGAAAAATCATGAAAAAGAGATCTCATTGCAAAAATCAAAAAAACATTTTCAATGGAATCGAATTTTAAAGTAATAGTACATTCTATTGACAAACTTTGTAAGGAAGGATCTTAAAACATTTGCTGTAAAAAATCAGCGAAAAAGTTGAAGACTTTTTCAATTTGTTATTCTTTTTTTTTGTCAATTTTTTTTTTTCAATTTGTATTATCATATTGAATTCAGTGGATTTTTTGTGAACAAAATAAAGAATAATTTTTCACTAAAAAAATTAAATAAGTGCGAAATAGGATGTTAACTGACATCTACCTTTCAACTCCAGGGCCTACATCGTTGGTTAGCTGGAAGATGCGAACACATTTAAACAAACAAAAATGACCGAAAAAGCTTAATGGGGCTCATTTCAAAGCGTGGCAATGATCCGTCCAATGAGAGCTCAAAATGCAAAATTCTTTGGGAGAATAATAAGTAATATACCAATATTGAAATAAAAGGTGCAAAATAGTAGAGCGAATGGGACTTTTAGTAGGAAAAGGTTTTATATCCTTCCAGAAATTCTTCCCAAACATTCAAAATACCTAAAATCACTTTTGCAGGTCTTTATATCGATCATAACTCACAGATAAGGGAACAACCCGATTTCATATTTATATAACCATCTATGATTTAAGTTATTTTTGGGGTCTTGGCCGGCCACTTTTTTCATTTTTTGGCCCTTATTTGACATTTTTGTTTCTATGGGGGTAGATAACCTCTTCGCATAAAATTTGAAATTTTCAGAGTAGGGCACATATTGGTATTGATCACATTCATCAATTGATTTGGCTAAAAAAATTTATTTATGCCACCCTGGGGTAGGGAACCATCATACAGATAATTGCCACATAGCAATTTATTTAAGTAAAGTCCCCACATTGGAGTATCCCCAAGTCCACTTTCACATCTAATGTGTGGTCAGAAAAGAAAATTTTGTATTCTATTGAATTTTTAACCCCCAAGAGAATATTGGTTGGGAACGTAGATTTGGGATGTGCATCCATATGAAATAAATTGTGGAAACATGAACAAATTACAAATATAAGAAAGTAGCACGGGACCGAATATTTGTTTAATCATCATTGAATTATCCTATGATGAAAATATGGACTTTAAGGGGTCTCCAACTTACAATTTAAATGGCAAATAAAATTAATTCCCATCTTATCATTCTGCCCTCAATTATGAGGTGGATAAAACTATTTTTACTTATTTAAATCACGCGAAATGCTATGACATGCTATATTGTTCTGCTATATTTTTGATTTGGCCTCTATTTGTCATCTTGGATTATAAGGGGTAGAAGAAAGTTTTCAATGTAGGTCGATTTTTCGGAGTAGTGCCCATATAAAGAAGGTACCTCCTAATTTAACCACATTTCAAAGAATTTGGCTAATAATGCGTATTAGGGGAGTGAAAATCTTACACTAAAATTTCAACATATCTACAAATTTTAGAATTTTTATCCATGTTATAATACCCTCTCAAGTCCACCTTTTGGCGGACAAACAGACTGACATGGTTAGGGGGACTTATGAGCACTCTAATGCACAATCTAATTTGCTAATGGGTTTAAAAAAGTAATTAACTTTGGCTATTCTTAAATCATTCAGCCCTCAATTATGTAGTATACAAAATACAGCAAATTCCAAATTACTGCTCATTTGACTGGAAGATTTTGCTACGATTTTTACCATATTAAAAATTAATTTGATCCCTTATATGGCGATAAGATTGATATATACTTTTTAATAGATTTGTATAGCACATCCACACAGTTGAAGCCCACGGTTTAAATATTGAAGCCCACTGGTTAAAAATGGGTACAGGTATTTTAAAACACTTTAAATCGTATATCTGTGAATAATTATGCCTTGGAATATATGCATAATAGACAAAAACTACGGGCCGGCAACGCGGACCGGGCCAGCTAGTAAATAAATAAAGATAAGGCTGTACATTTTCATCTAAGCTCAAAAATCTTTTAAAACCCACATGGCCCAGATTTTCCTTAAGAAACGAATACAAGTAGCCCAGATGGACCTTTAAGAAATGCTAACAAGTTAAAAAGCAGTAAGTTCGGTCGGGCCGAACTTTTAATACCCTCCACCATTGCAACAAATTTGGGAATTTTTAAAAAATAAAATCCTTAAAAAATTCTTTTAAAATTTTAAAAATACCGAATATAGCCGTTATATTGGGGCCTATACGACGTGGACATACATAGGCATTGTTTGTCACAAGCCATTACATATTCAAATTTGAAACTTGAAATAAACAGTGAATAATGTAGCTAAAATCATCAAAATATCGTATATAAGGAGGTGCCGTTATATCGGAGCTGTGCGAAGACCTGGACCAGCATAGACAATTTTTTGTAACAGGCTGTAGCATCCATTACGAACTTCAAATACCACATCTCAAACAATTTCGGTGGGTATTGTACCTAAAATCGTCAAAATACCGAATATATGGAGGTACTGATATATGGGGCCTATACGAAGACCTGGACCCGCACAAACAATTTTCTGTCACAGACTGTAGTTCCCATAACGAACTTCAAATACCAATTTTGAAATAATTCCGGTAAATAATGTCGCCAAAATATGAAAACGTGGACCTACATGGCCCATTTAGGAACTTAACCTGCCTACTGGAAAAATAAACATGTGTGCAAAATTTTAGCCATCTATCTCAATTCATTCGAAAGATAGCTTGATTACAACAGACAGACAGACGGACATCGCTAAATCGACTTAGAATTTTACGCTGATCAAGAATATATATACTTTGTTGGGTCTGATATGAGTATTTCGAGGAGTTACAAACGGAATGACAAAGTTAATATACCCTCCATAGTATGGTGAAGGGTATAAAAAAGCTACAAATTTGTCTGGGCCGAACTTTGAATACCCTCCACCATTTGAAACGAATTTGGCAATTCTCAAAAACAATAAAACCCATTAAAAATTCTGTTAAAATCTTAGGAATACCGAATGTAGCTGTTATATTAGAGTCTATACGATGACATGGACCTGCATAGGTAACTTTTGTCATGAGCCTTTACAATTTTCAAATGCAATCTTAAAAAAAATCGGTGAATAATGTCGCTAAAATCATCAAAATACCGAGTATCGGGAGGTACCGTTATATGGGGGCTATACGAAGACGTGGACCTGCACAGACAATTTTCTGCCTTCGGCTGTAGTATCTAATTCGAACTACAAATTCCAAATTTGAAACAATTCCGGTGAATAATGTCGCTAAAATCATCAAAATACCGAGTATCGGGAGGTACCGTTATGTGGACCTACAAGCCATAGAAAATATGAAAAAATAAAAATGTCACAAAATACTACAAAATCTATATTAATATTATTATTGGCACCATTTTTATGCGTTTTTTAGATTTTATCCTTTTATGCCGAGAGGGCATTCCGAATTGACAAAATTTGTCAAAATCGGTTCAGCCATTCTTGAGATATAAGCATTCTAACTAACATACCCTTCCTTTGTATATACACATTGTATATATTTCACTACATGTATCCGATATATTTACTATCGGCATCTTCGTAATGGTCAGATTTGACCTGTCTATTTGTGATTTCGCCAGGGATTAAAAATATTCGTGGTTTGAGGGAAAATTTGACTTTTATTTAACACAAATGTTATGGTCTATTTCACCCAGTAAATATTATCCGATGACCATCAACATTGAAAAGCTTCTGTCCAGGCCTAGCCCCATGCTAACTTCCGCTTAGATTGGTCTATAATTGCGATCTGTAGAGCAACTCCGAGATCAGGAAATTTTGGCAAAAGTTTGTGTATGCAGGTTCAAGTGTTCGTATAGCCCCCATATAACGGTACCTCCCGATATTCGATATTTTGATGATTTCAGCAACATTATTCAACGGAATAGTTTAAAAATTCGTACTGGAAGATCTTAATGGGTACTACAACTTATGGACGTATAGCCCTCATATAACGGTACCTCCCGATATTCGGTATTTTCATGATTTTAACGACATCATTTACCAGAATTATTTTAAATTTCGTATTTGAAGTTGGTAGTGGGTACTATAGCCTATGAAAAAATTATGTTTATGCAGGTCCAACTCTTCGTATAGCCCCCATATAACGGTACCTCCCGATAGTCGGTATTTTGGCGATTTCGGCGACGTTATTTAGCGAAATCGCTTCAAATTTCGTATTTGAAGTTGGTAATGGGTACTACAGTCTATGACAAAACGCCTTCGTATAGCGCCCACATGACAGTTTTCATTTAAGTGATAGTTCTCGATTTTTTTTTAAATTCTTCAAGTTCCTTCGAAATGGTGGAGCGTATTAAAAGTTCGGCCCGGTTGAACTTATCTGCTTTTTTACTTGTTTGCTTTGAACAACATATCTATAAATTGATAATGCCCCAATGAAAAGATTCGTATATCAATGTTGAGGCCTCATCTGTATATTTTATTATTATTAAAGAGGACAGAGATATCTCCTTTCATGGTGAGCATCTATGAACAAAAGATAGCTTAAAGGCCTTACATATGCCTCCATAGGTACAAATATTTGTAAAAAATATTCGTTTATAGTTTATATAACTGAAAATAAATTTTCAGATCCATCAGAAAATTTTTTAAAATTAGACATTTACAGAAATCTTTCGGAAAGTATTCTTAAAAATCGAATCTGCTTAATTCCTTGAAAGACTATTATATAAGAAAATGTTTTGTAGCTAAAATAGTTCTCCAGGAAATACTCTTAAAAAAAACTAATTTAAAATTGTTTGGGATCTTCAGAGATGGAATTTTCCAAACAGTATTTGTTTGACCCAAGAACAAACCCTATTGAAATCGGTGGGAATCGGTTCAAATTTAGATATAGCTCTTATATATATCTTCAACCAATTTTGGCTTAATTGTGCACCAAATGACCAATATCAGTCCAAATTACCTGAATTTTGGTACATCCGACTGAATTCATCCTAGAAACAAGTTGTTTAAATTTGGTAAAAATCGGTTCATATAGCTCCCATATATATGTTTCATCCGATTTGTGGTTTTAAGTCTCTCACATTCGTAATGTGCACTCCACAACATTGATCTTTGATATCAGATACAGCCAAGAAATACCTCCGTCAAATTTTATCGAGATCGGATCTGATTTGGATATAGTTCCCATATATATCTTTGTCCGATATTAAGGATATTGTGCACCAAAATAGCTAATATCAGCCCAAATGGGCTGAATATTGGAAATTCCGACTGAATTGATCCTAGAAAAAGATACTTCAAATTTTGTGAAAATCAGATATAGCTATATATATATATGTTTCATCCGATTTTGTATTTAAGTCCCTCACACCCGTAAAATCCTCTCGACAACAACGATATTTGGTCCCAGCTATCATATACAGCATTAAAATAACTCTGATAAATTTTATAGAGATCGGTTCAGATTCATTCATTCATCCAATTTTACGTTTATTAAGCCTAAAAAGTGTAATATCAGCTGAGATTTTGATGAAATCAGTCTGTCAAATTCAGAGGAAATGGAAAAAGTAAACAGATTACTTCGGGCCAAACGCTACCAAAAAAAAAAAAAAAAAAAAAAAACAAAAACAGGTTAAAAAGCAGTAAGTTCGGCCCCGCGAACTTTGAATACCCTCCACCATTTGGAACGAATTTGGTAATTTTCAAAAATAAAAATAGCCATTATATTGGGATCTATTTTTTTTTTCAAAAAAAATAAAAATAATATTGGGGCCTATACGACGTGGACCTACATAGGCATTGTCTGTTATAAGCCATTACCATATTATAAACGGGTATAATGTAGCATCTTCAAAATACCATATAAAGGGAGGTACCGTTATATCTGAGCTATACGAAGACCTGGACCTGCATAGACAATTTTCTGTCACAGGCTGTAGCATTCATTACGAACTTCAAATACGACATCTCAAACCATTTCGGTGAGTATTGTAGCTAAAATCGTCAAAATACCAAATATAGGGAGACACTGATATATGGGGCCTATACGAAGACCTGGAGCTGCATAAAACATTTTGTGTCACAGACTGTAGTTCCCATTACGAATTCTAAATACGTAATTTGAAACCTCTAAATACGTAATTTGACGCTAAATTCATAAAAGTACCGAATATTGGGAGGTGCCGTTATAGGGGGCTATACGAAGATTGTGTAGGTAGTGGTGGGCTAGTCCTGCTTTACATAAGTATCGAAAACTTTTAAATGCCTGCTTTCTTGGCATCACCCTTATTTATTGTGTTCATATTTTTCCTCAATGGAACATAAATTCGGATACTGCGGATTCACGCCCGTCACACACAGACTTCCCGCCGGACCCTTTTGATAGACCGCTCGATTATAGAAATTATTTCGGGCATAATTACACACCAGCAATAGGGTTTTTGTGGCGCCCGCCTCCGTGAGGACCGCACCACAACCCATATGGCTATTGCACTCATTGACCATGGCCGTAAAGTGGCCAATAACTTTTTCCCCATTTCCCGCAAATGTATCCAAATCCTCTTGTTGCGTATGCTGCACTTCGTCATACCAATCGTTGACTAGTCCCCGCACAATCGGCTCCAGTTTACCAGAGTGCCAACGAGCAGGCCATTTCATCCATGCCAAATTCTGTCCAGGATGACGGAATTCTTTGGTGGTATGACAATGGTCATGTTGCATTTTACATCTCATCGCATTGAGCAGAGCATATTCGGCCAGTTCGGCATGCCATTGCACTGTGGCCATCCGGGAAGCTGCTGCACATTTGGTTAGATTGCCGGCAACTCGGTTGCGTATGTCGTTGTGTAGATCCAGCAAAAACTGCTGTTGTTCTGTTGTAAATCTCAGCGGTTTGGTGCCCGGTTTGCATTGCGGCGAAAGGGTCTTCGAGGGGGGATAAGAAGTTATTATATCAGATAGAATATCTGAAAGTATTCGGTTTTATTACCTGATTATTGCCACAAGCAATGTGAGGCTCCTTTTTACAGTTTCGCTGACATGCATCGCCAAAATTGATGGCAGTTGTGTTTTGTTCATCAGTTTCCTTTGTTTGATTTTTTCCTGAATTTTGGGAATTTAAATTATCCTCAGTTATTGCTCCTCTAGTATCAGGTTGTTGTAATTTTCCGCTGTCCATATTCTCCAAGTTAGCATTTAATGGCATCAACCTGGGACGTTTTTTGGATCTTCTACGGCCTCTCTTGACCTTAACTTCCTCGGCGTGCTTCTGGTGTTCACCATCGTTGAGGGGATCCCCAGCTCCAATTATTTCCAATTGCTGTGTGTTTCTTTTAAAACGAAATTGCAAAAGAATTTCATTGTAACTATCTGTCCAAAAATCGATTAGTTCACTCCCATTTCGGCCGTCCTCCTTGGAACACCACGTTGCGGGGATGTTGTTGCAAAACCCCACTAATAAAATAAATAAAAGATTGATGCGCATTGTCTACCGGATTTGAAGTGACTAAAAGACGATGATATTTGTCAGTGCCTCATAAGCATTTCATTTCATATTTGTTGTTATATATTTTTCGCTGAGTTTGCTATTTCATTTAAACATTTTGCTGATCCCGACACGGTTGTATGTGAGAAAATGTTATTTGTTTTTTTTTTCTTCGATGAGTATAACAAAGGGATGTCAAAAACGAAATTGTTTCACAATGATTAATATCCTGTATTCTAATTAAAGCTGGTTCGATCATGCCGAACTTTTAATACCCTGCACCATTTGGAAGGTTTTTTGCAAAATTTCAAAAAAATTGTTGATAAATGCCATTAGCATTATTAAAATACTGAATATCGGGTGTTAGAGTTCTAGGGGGTCTCTATATGAAAAAATGGGCCTGTATAGACAAGTATTTGTCAGAGAAACCGGTTATTATTGCGAACTTCAAATATCAATTTTTTACATGGTCATGTGATTGTTTGTTTCCCAAAATAGAAGGGATAGATACCAGGGAGGCGCTGGAGTCCAGCAAGTCTTTTTAGACGGGGTGGAAACCAGGGAGTCTCTGTAGACGAGTTGGAGGCCAGGGAGTCTCTATAGACGACCTGAAGGCCTGGGAATCTCCATAGACGTGCTGAAGGGCCAGGGAGTCCCTATAGGCGAGCTGAAGGGCCTGGGAATATCTATAGACGAGCTGAAGGGCCTGGGAATATCTATAGACGAGCTGAAGGGCCAGGGAGTCTCCATAGGCGAGTCGAAGGGCCTGGGAATATCTGTAGACGAGCCGAAAGGTTAGGGAGTCTCTATAGACAAGCCGAAGGGTCAGGGAGTCTATATAGACGAGCTGGAGGGCCAGGGAGTCCCTATAGACGAGTGGAAGGGCCAGGGAGTCCCTATAGACGAGCTGAAGCTCAGGGAGTCTCTATAGACGAGCTGAAGGGCCAGGGAGTCTCTATAGACGAGCTGAAGGGCCAGGGAGTCTCTATAGACGAGCTGAAGGGCCAGGGAGTCTCTATAGACGAGCTGAAGGGTCAGGGAGTCTCTATAAACGAGCTGAAGGGCCAGGGAGTCTCTATAGACGAGCTGAAGGGTCAGGGAGTCCCTATAGACGAGCTGAAGGGCCAGCGAGTCTCTATAGACGAGCTGAAGGGCCAGCGAGTCTCTATAGACGAGCTGAAGGGCCAGCGAGTCTCTATAAACGAGCTGAAGGGCCAGGGAGTCTCTATATAGACGAGCTGAAGGGCCAGGGAGTCTCTATATAGACGAGCTGAAGGGCCAGGGAGTCTCTATATAGACGAGCTGAAGGGCCAGGGAGTCTCTATATAGACGAGCTGAAGGGCCAGGGAGTCTCTATATAGACGAGCTGAAGGGCCAGGGAGTCTCTATATAGACGAGCTGAAGGGCCAGGGAATCTCTATATAGACGAGCTGAAGGGCCATGGAGTCTCTATATAGACGAGTTGAAGGGCCAGGGAGTCTCTATATAGACGAGCTGAAGGGCCAGCGAGTCTCTATAGACGAGCTGAAGGGCCAGCGAGTCTCTATAGACGAGCTGAAGGGCCAGCGAGTCTCTATAGACGAGCTGAAGGGCCAGCGAGTCTCTATAGACGAGCTGAAGGGCCAGGGAGTCTCTATAGACGAGCTGAAGGCCAATGAGTCTCTATAGACGAGCTGAAGTCCAGGTAGTCTCTGTGGACGAGCAGCGAGCCGCTATTGACGAGCTGAAGTAAACCTGTGCATTGATGCAAATTCTCTACATTGTCCCGTTTTTGACTCCAGTTCTCAGCTCCCTAGGCTTTTGACTCCAATTCCATTAAAAATCCTTTTTTTGTCCTGTTGGTTTATAAGGAATTCCATTATGTCATCTGTCTGTTAACCCATATATGATATATTTCTTTATAAACTATACTTTTCTCATCAATTGTATTTTCCCAGTTAAAGTGTTCCTTGATTTCTCATAAATCCGAGTGTAAATTTAAGATGAAAAATAATCATCGGAGAGCAAGCAACCTTTTAATCTCCTTTTTCCAAAAAACGATTACATTATGAACATTAATTTTATTAAAGCCATTTGGATAATGGAAGGGTTATAGTAACCATGACACACTTTTGACTATAGCTTACGGCGAACAACAACAAGTGAAAGGGATGAAAAACAGGAAACAACAAAACTGTAAACAAAAATCGTAAAAAAATATTCAATATCTCTAAGTGACGGTGGCAATGATGCAAAAGTTAAAGAGATTCAAGAGTAGAAAACAGAAAGCTATATTATTTTTAGTTTGGAAATAATATTTTAAAGATTGGTATGTGGAAAATATAAAAAAAATAAAATTTCTCAGAAATGATTGACATTGGAAGATTTAATTGAATTCGCCTGCGGATCTATAGTTTAGGGAAAGCATTTTTTTTAATTTTAATACTTTAATTAAAATTTACCTTAAATAGCTTGCCATAACAATTATAAATTATGTTATGTCAATTATGCTTTCTCAACGAATGCATTTTGCTGACATCTACACAAAACAATTAAAATTTAAATTGCGGCTATTTAAAACTTTTAAACATAAACATGTATAAACATATTGTAAATTAGAGTGGGTCGGTAATGTTTGTGAAATAACAAGGAAAATGATTTAGGAAAAAAGGCGAGCTTAAGACCAGTGAATTGTGTGACAGGGAGTCTCTTAAGACGATCCCAATGCCAGTGAACCTATTTGAGCTGGAGGTCAAGAAGTCTATTAAGATGACCTGAGTAGGAATTGATCCAACAGAACTGAAAGATCACCAAGTCAATTTAGACGAGCTAAAGCTTATGGGCGACCCGAAGGCCAGGTAGTAGATTTAGGCGACCTTAAGGCCAGGTCGGAGTTCATTTATACGAACTAAAGGCCAGATCTAGACGAACTGAAGGGTCAGGGAATTTATTTAGAGGAACTAACGACTGGGGAGTCAACAAAAACGAGCTGAAGGACAGGAAGTATATTTCGATGATATAAAAGAGAGTCTAGAGAGTCTATTTATACGACCTGAAAGTCAGGGAGTCTTTAGGCTAGCTGATGGCCACGGCGTCTATTTAGACGAGCTGAAGGCCAGGCTGTCTATTTTGACGAGCAGAAGTCATGGGAGTACATTTAGACGAGCTGAAGGCCTGGGAGACTAGTTGAAGACCAGAGAGTGTCTCTAGACGAATTGGAGGTCAGGGAGTCTATTTATACGAGCGGAAGGTTAGGGAGTCTATTAAGACGAGCTTAAGCCCAGAGAATTTATTTAGACGAGTTAAAGGCCAATGAATCTATTTTGAAGAGCTGAACGCCTGGGAGTCTATATAGACGAGGTGAAGGCCAGGGAGTCTATTTTGACGAGCTGACGTCCATGAAGTTTATTTAGACGAACAGAAGGTCAGGGAGTCTATAGAGAAGTGTTGACGGTTAAGGAGTCCATATCGACGAGCTGAAAGGCAGAAAGTATTATTCTGCGAGCTGAAGGAAAGGGAGTCTTTTTAGATGAGCTGAAGGGCAGGGTGTTTTTTAGACGAACTGAAGGGCAGGGTGTCTTTTTAGACGAACTGAAGGCCAAGGAGTCTATTTAGACGAAATGAAGGCCAGGGAGTCTATATATAAGTGTTGGTTAAGGAAAAGTGGAGGTTAAGGAGTCCATATCGAAGAGCTGAAAGTCAGAGAAGATTTTTCCGCGAGCTGAAGGCCAGGAAGTCTATTTAGATGAACTAACGGCCAGGGAGTCTCTTTTAACGAGCTGAATGGCAATGAGTCCATTTAGATGAGCTCAAGGCCAGGGTGTCTATTTAGACGAGCTAAAGGCCAATGATTCTATTTTTGCTTTTACAGCCAGGTGTTCTATTTATATAGGATTGGAATAAGAGAGAGTATCTTAGAAAAGAAGAGAGAGAGAGCCTATATAGTGAATTTAAAAAGCGAATACTTCCAAATTTTAAGTTTTAAAAATATCCCCGCAACGACCCCATCTTATATTCAAAAAGGAAAAAATCCATGCACTCTTAAATATAGCAAAATGATGAGCTTTTCATTGTTTTAAAATCCCTCCTACCCTCACGTGAGCTGCTAGAGCATTGTGCTAATGGAATGTGCATGTAGTATGACGCACATGTTGTACACACATATGTACATATGTACTAAAATCATTGAAAAATGTTAACGCTCTTCTGCTTGTGCTGCTGCCGTTGCTGACGACGATGATAATGCTGATGACAGCCGGTATAGAATTTCATCTATGAGTGTGTGCAGATTGTACATACATACGTATATCCATCACATTTGACGAGATGACGAACAACTAGCTAATGATGAACGATTATATCAGCACGCAATACATACTCATTAATATTTTAAAAGCAGATGACAAATTACGAATGAAATACGAAGCAAGATATGAAATAGTGGTCCATGCGAATGGAGGAGACCAGAGAGGAAAGTGCTGGGAACTAGGAAAACACATTAGCCTGCAGTTAGATAGAGAGAGTGGCAGGGAAATAAGTGATAGGATATCCAAACAGATTTTTACAGCTTTTTTTATAGAACGTATATCCAAAATATTTATGTTAGATTGGTCTTTAAAGTCTCATAATGGCAACAATATTTCCCCTTCTCTGGTGAAATGTAATTCCCATTCTTAAAATCTGCACGCATATATTAAACCCACCCCACTGTGTTTTTGGGCCATCGTTAATAGCCATTGTAAATTTTGAAATCGATATGGAAAATTTTAATTAAAATTGATGTGTGTCATTGCACTTTTGTTATTGCATTTTTCACGCCTCATCAATTCCATTTAATATTCAGAGAAATCCCTTTTTCGAATATTTATGACGATTGATAATTAACTTCAAATATCTAAATGAGCGAACATTTATTCGACTGAATGCCAGAATTTTAAATATTTTATGCAGCAGCCAAATTTCGAATGAATGGTGTAATTTGCTTTGTATTATTTTACAGCAAATTGATTGAATGAATGCATAATATTAATAGACAGATGTAATTTTTGAATACAAAACA